ACCAAGGGCTTCCTTCAGATCTATGACCAGATTTGGCGCGACCTGGCCCGCAAAGATGTCACCAAGACGTACAAGCTCGCAGCGGAGTCTTACCAGACCAAGGCTTCCAACCTCAAGAAGACTGCAATTCTCGCTTCCAAGGAGGCCAAGAGGTGGCAGCTGCGTACGAACAAGGGCACCAAGGACCAGCAGGCTCGCGCCAAGCGTGTCATGCGTGACATGATGGGCTTCTGGAAGCGCAACGAGCGTGAGGAGCGTGATCTCAGGAAGGCTGCTGAGAAGCAGGAGATTGAGAACGCCCGCAAGGAAGAAGCCGAGCGTGAAGCCGCCCGTCAAAAGAGGAAGCTCAACTTCCTTATCTCTCAGACCGAGCTCTACTCTCACTTCATCGGCAAGAAGATCAAGACGGACGAAGTCGAGCGCAGCACCGACAACCCCGAGGTTGCTGCCGGCGAGAAGAAGGCCGGGACCGATGAGAACAAGATGGACGTTGATGAGCCGACCGGACCGTTGGGCGCTAAGGTTACCAACTTCGAGAACCTCGACTTTGACGAGGAGAGCGAGGAGAACCTGCGCGCGGCTGCCATGGCGAATGCTCAGAACGCCATTGCAGAGGCGCAGAGGAAGGCCAGAGAGTTCAACGAGCCCCAGGGTCCCGACATGGACGAGGAGGGCGAGATGAACTTCCAGAACCCTGCCGGTATGGGCGACGTCGAGATCGAGCAGCCCAAGCTCATCAACGCCCAGCTCAAGGAGTACCAGCTCAAGGGTCTCAACTGGCTCGCCAACTTGTACGAGCAGGGCATCAACGGTATTCTTGCAGACGAGATGGGTCTCGGAAAGACTGTCCAGTCCATTTCCGTCATGGCCTACCTCGCCGAAAAGTACGACATCTGGGGTCCCTTCCTCGTCGTCGCACCCGCCTCCACCCTTCACAACTGGGAGCAGGAAATCCGCAAGTTCGTGCCGGAGTTTAAGATTCTCCCGTACTGGGGTTCTGCAGGCGACAGAAAGGTGCTTCGAAAGTTCTGGGATCGCAAGCACTCAACGTACAAGAAGGAGGCATCCTTCCACGTTTGCGTCACGTCGTACCAGCTTGTCGTGTCTGATGTTGCCTACTTCCAGAAGATGAAGTGGCAGTACATGATTCTCGACGAGGCCCAGGCCATCAAGAGTTCTCAAAGTTCCAGATGGAAGAGCTTGCTAGGCTTCCACTGCCGAAACCGTCTTCTGCTTACCGGTACTCCCATCCAGAACAACATGCAGGAACTGTGGGCTTTGCTCCATTTCATCATGCCGTCACTCTTCGACTCTCACGACGAGTTCAGCGAATGGTTCTCCAAGGACATCGAGTCGCACGCTCAGAGTAATACCAAGCTCAACGAGGACCAGCTCAAGCGTCTGCACATGATTTTGAAGCCATTCATGTTGCGTCGTGTCAAGAAGCATGTGCAGAAGGAGCTCGGAGACAAGATTGAAGAAGACGTCTACTGCGACCTCACCTACAGACAGAGAGCCATCTACAGCAACCTTCGGAACCAGATCAGCATTATGGACCTAATCGAGAAGGCTACTGCTGGCGACAGCGACGATTCCGGTACTCTCATGAACCTCGTCATGCAGTTCCGAAAGGTCTGCAACCACCCCGATCTGTTTGAGAGAGCCGACACCACCTCTCCGTTCTCCTTTGGGTACTTCGCCGAGACAGCTTCATTTATCAGAGAAGGTAATGAGGTCAATGTCGGCTACTCGACGCGCAACACCATCGAGTACGACTTGCCTCGGCTCCTCTGGAGAGGAGATGGCCGCGTCAATAAGAGCGACATCAATAACCCCAAGGCGGGATGGCGAAACAAGAACCTGCAGCACATGATGAACATCTTCACCCCGGAGCACATCAAAGACAGCATGGAGGGCTCTGACAACTTTTCATTCCTGCGCTTTGCCGACACCAGCCCGAACGAGGTGTACAAGGCCAGCCACCAGGACATCTTCACTCGCGCAGTCGAGCTGTCCCAGAAGAAGAACCGTCTGGGCCACATGAATGTTGCCTATGATGAGCCTGAGGATATCAACTTCACGCCTGCCCACGCGCTATTCCAGATTAAGGAGCGCAGAAACAGGCAGCCTATGGTCGACATCACCAAGGAGGGTATCCTGGCCAACCTGATGAACGTCGCCCGCAGCGAGTACTCCGAGAGTGGATTGGGCCGTCTGGAGCAAGCTGGTCGTCCTCGCGCCTCAGCGCCCCCTATTGAGGTCAGCTGCTGCAGCCGTGGCGCTGACATTGAGCGGGAGAACATCATGTTCAATATGCCCATGCGCAAGAGCTTGTTCGGCCCCACCATCCACGAAGAGCGGGCCATGGTCACGGAGAAGATCCCGATCGAGCGATTCCCGCCCCACAAGTTGTTGCCTGCCCCCGACAGTGAGAAGAGAAAGTTCACCAACATCGCCGTGCCATCCATGCGTCGCTTCGTCACGGACAGTGGCAAGCTTGCGGTGCTCGACAGGCTACTTACTAAGCTTAAGGCCGAGGGACATCGCGTGCTGCTCTACTTCCAGATGACTCGCATGATCGATCTGATGGAGGAGTATCTGACCTACCGAAACTACAAGTACTGCCGTCTCGACGGTTCCACCAAGCTCGAGGACAGAAGAGACACGGTCGCCGACTTCCAGACTCGCCCCGAGATCTTCATCTTCCTGCTGTCCACCCGTGCCGGTGGTCTCGGTATCAACCTGACGTCTGCCGATACCGTCATTTTCTACGACTCCGATTGGAACCCTACAATCGACTCGCAGGCCATGGACAGAGCACACAGACTGGGTCAGACTCGCCAGGTTACGGTGTACCGTCTGATCACCCGCGGCACCATCGAAGAACGTATCCGCAAGCGTGCTATGCAGAAGGAGGAGGTGCAGCGTGTCGTCATCACGGGTGGCGGCGCTTCTGTCGATTTCTCTGGTCGCCGCGCTCCTGAGAACCGCAACCGTGATATTGCCATGTGGCTTGCGGACGACGACCAGGCCGAGATGATAGAGCGTCGCGAGAGAGAGCTTCTCGAGAGCGGCGAGCTCGAAAAGCCGCAGAAGAAGAAGGGTGGCAAGCGCAAGCGCGTGGTCAACGAGAACCTTAGTTTGGACGAAATGTACCACGAGGGTGAGTTTTCTCCCTTACCTTTGGATCTTCAGCATGCTAACAGACTTCCAGGCGAGGGCAACTTCGACGATCGCAACGCAGCCAACGGTACTTCAGGTACGGCCACGCCCGTAGTAGAGCCCGACGTCAAGGGAGCGAAGAAGCGGCGCGTGGGCGGCAAGAAGGCCAAGACCTTGAAGCAACGACTCGCCGTCGCGGACGGCCAGGTCTGAGACACCACCTGACACGATAGAGAGACGGAACATTCGCTTTTTGCAAGACAACAAGAATACGGGAAGGGATTTGTGGATTTGTAGCAATATGAAATCGGACGGAAACTATTAAGCTGGGCGCACACATGCCTGGCGTCGGAGGGGCGGGGTTTACTATGCGGATTTGCATCAAGAGACGAACAGTGGCGGCCGAAAGCTTGCTGCGTCTTGACTGTTTTAGACTTTATTACAAAAGCTTCTTTGTCTGTATTCTTTCATCATTATCTTTCCGAGGCCTCGGGTTTTGGCGGTTGTTTCCGCCCTAGACGTTTGTCTTTAGAGGTTCGTTTTTGACGCCTCGATGGGATCTTATTTGAGGCTGAGGTTGAAGGCGGGCTTTTGGGTGTACGAGGCGTGGGATGTATTATTACTTTTAGACAGTGAAAGTCGCCTCGACAGTTTAAGTGAAGATTATGCGTGCCTTGTGGTGATAAGATGACGTGATGAGGATGGGGTGGATGGATTGAGGGAAAGTGTCTCGTCATGATTGCTGCATGGGGCTTCTTTCATGGGAGATGTTGGTCTCGTTAGGGATGGTGTGTTCCAGAAGGCGAGGGTACAGTCTCGGCGCGCCGTTTGACACCGTGGCACTACGGTAGGAAGAATATTTGCTTTGCGACATCGGAGAGAGCAAGCCCGATGTTTTCGGTCTTCCTGGTGGGGTGGGTGCGGTGATGGATTGCCTAGTGATGGGGAAAGTCTTTGCTTTATGATGTCTTGTGTGGTGATGGATGTGTGTTTAGCGCACTGGGACGAGAGCGGAATGTTGGTTGTGTGGATGGGGGAAGCAAGGCAGAAGCGGTGTTTGGCCTGAGATGAGGCATGCTCTGTGGGATTTGTGATGTTTCTGATGAAGACGAGATGTTTCTGTCGGGTTGAATGCGCTTGTCTATGGGAGGTAGATGATGGTTATTGTGGAGACTCGGGCTGTTAACCTGGAGGTTGAAGATCATAGAGAGGGTCAGAAAGGGGGAGGGTGTAGATGCTAGTGTATAGGTCTTTGGTTTATTGAGAGTGAAGTGAGTTCTATAGGCCGTGCTGCATTTACTATTCCTATTACTCTCTCTGTTAGCCTCTCGGCCGGTCTCGCGGACCTTCTCTTCCAATGGTCATTACAACCTCCTTCGTCTTTTGATCAAGTTGAGTATTCTGGGTGGCATGCTATTTTTAAGCTTGGAACGGGAACGGAGTCACACATGTACGACGGAGCCAGCAAGGATGTATGCCTGCAGTGGAAAACTATGATTAGAAGAACCACGGCCAGAGAAGCCAGGTTCAAGACGGTCCTTGACTCTACGTGAAAATGGAACGTTGCTGAAGAGATATGCTTTTGCAAAGACTGAGAAGTTACCAACGCCTGCTTCTAACCGAGTCCAATGTTTGTTGTCGCTCTGCCCAAATGTTTGGCGTCCTCTACGCTTGTACATCATCACCACTTCGGAGGTTAACGTGTTACGGTCCTTCTTCCCCTCAAAGGCCAACGGAAGAATCTTAGAGCTTTTAGCCCTGTCCGACTTCGTTGCGTCGCCTGCGAGCTGTTGCTATCGTCCACCGTCAGACCTTTTTCTAGCTGTCTCGCCTCTATATTATTCGACTGTGTTGCCTTTGGAACAGAATAACTATCCCGGCTACCGCGATTTCTGTGGCTAGCTATCGATTGCTTATCTTGCGTTGTCTTAGTACTGGTGTTTGCCTCGAGATGGGGTTTTCTGAGTTCGTCCCATAGTCTTTTTCGCAAGTACTCCTGGTGTTGCTTCGTTGCTCGGAGTGTTTCGTCGGGAATTTGGGCGATGGCGTCGCGAATTTCGTCCCGGCGTGCGCGCTCGCGCTCGACTTTCTCTGGGGTAAAGGGGTTGTCTGACTTGACTGAAAGGCAAAAGTGAGTTTCCGGTTTAACATGCCATGTAGACATTTCGGAGGAACTTACTGTCATCCAAGTAGCTGTCCGAAAGAGAGCGAATCTTCTGTTCGCATACCTCCACAAGCGAGATGCCATAGATGCCGAGACTCATCGTAGCCTGAAGGCTTTCTGACGATCCAATACGCTCCTCGTATTGTCTAAACACATCATATTCGTCCAGCATGGTGTTGTTCAGGATTGCATCGACAGGCAAACCCTTGATGACGTGGAAATCACAGCGAACTGGTGATTCGCCGTAGGCGAACTGCCATTCTGCTTGAGCGATCCCTTTTGTGCGCACCCGTGAACCGTCGAGAAACTCAACCAAGGTGCGGTGGCGCTCTCTCCGACGGACTTTTAGACCCAACCTTCGGGCATGCTTGAGTGATATGGCCATAACATCCGAGCCCGTGTCAGGCACTGCGAGACATTCGCTGCCGTTGATGTAGCCGCCCAGAACGTCCTGTTCAGCCCCGATGAGGTTAAGCGATGGCTGTGCTAGGCGGTAGGACATTTTCTTGATTCTGTGAGCGTAGTCTGTCATTGTCCTGGTTGCTTTGAGAAACACGCTGCCCAGGACGAGGTCCCGAGTTGCCCCGGGCAAGATGCTGCAAAGAAGGCCGTGCTTTTCCCTTTCCCCGTCGAAGCTGAAGGCCAGCTGGACCTGCCCGGGGGACATCACCTTGCTTCCGTTAGGCAGAGTCATCAGGTCTTGTGTGCCGGCGATGGGCTTCAGTCCCATTAACGTCGCTTTCTTCTCGGATATCAAGTTGAAGCAACATCCTGTGTCTGGGACAGCCACTACTCCCGTCTCGTTGAGGTTTCCGTCTACTTCCAACCTTACTCCTTGCAGCATCGAACCCTTTTCTCTTGAAGCCACATGTCTTTGCGTAGATGAAGGGTGTCTTGTGACGGTCGAGGACTGCGTGTGATTGATAGTGCCAACTGTGTGTCGGATCCAGTCGGGTTTATGTATAGCGTCAAGTACCTCTGAAATCTGCAAAATTATTGCAGCCATCTATGTTCTCGTCTTCGTTTCCATGGTGGCCAGGGAAAGGAATAGCGACGGAGTCATCATTGTCTTCATTTGTTCCAAGCTGATGAAGACGCGGGAATCATCGTCGGGTGAAAAGCTCTTTGTGCCAAAATCAGGCGACAGCGCGTCGCCGGAAGTGATCGTCATGGTGTTTTCAGGTTCGCAAGGTTGTAATAAGCTTTGAAATACATGTCTGGTAGTACCGATATCAATCAGCCGCCGAGAAGCACAAAGGCGAGGCAAGTGGCCTGAGATCATACCAAGAACCCTTCCAGCCTAGAATCATATTGTTCCAGGGCAATCAACTGTGGAGTTGAGGATGGGGTTACTACGCCCTGGTCGCGGATTTGTGACCCTGTGACAACTCCTTACTTCACGAAAGATGGCGTTAGGTTCTCAAAAAGACAAGATACTATTTAAGAAGAGGCAGTAAAATTTTAATCCACTCCGAATGATGCCTTTCGACCCGGGGGAGGATGAGTGGGAGGGCTGTGAGTCAGATCCGTCGATGTTCATCTATGTGTATTAATAGTGCGCAGGGGTTTCAGGCTGTATTGTAGCCAAGGCAGACCGGGCACCGAAAGAGCCCAACGATGCCCAAATCTCGAAGCCCCAGGAATGTGATTGGAGGAACCATGAGAAGATTCGAGTTTGTCAGGCCTTGATAAGCAGGATGACACACGTGATTTGAAGTTTTGTCACGCGTGGTTCAACTGAATCAGACTGGAAGCTGTTTCTACCAGTCGCTAGTCAAATGAACGGCCATTGAAACCGTCAAACAATGTACACCGATGGAGTTTTCGAAAGGCATGGGGGGTATCTGGCAGCGGCATCATGGCTTGCGCGAGACATCGACAACGAAACGCTTATTTTCCGAAAGTTTAACGCTCTGTCCGCCGCAAATCTGCTCTACATGCAAAGCGAGATCCTTGAGCTGGAAAGGCGTCTTGACGAAATGCATTTGGTTACAGTACAAAGCAACGATATGGATTTAAAAGATGCGGCGAGCACGTGGGAAACGCTCAGTGAACAGGCCCAAGTCGGGAATGCCCACTTTCGGCAAGATGCGAAGGAAAGAATGAATCTCATAAAAGAGCTACGCGAAAGGCTTCGCGAATACCGTAATCAAACCTCCCTTTATATGTGAACTTGATAGTTGTTGCAAGTTACTAAGCTCTAGACATAGATGAAATGCTACTGTTACAAAGCCAGATCGCGCAGTTAAAGCATCCTGAAGATCGCCCACTAGCCGCCGTGCGACATTTCTTCGAAAACCCTCATCACATCCTTGGTGGGAAGGCAAAAGAATTTCTGAAAGATTCCACTGATCTAGTGACTCTGAAGAATGCCAACGATATGGACTACTTGTCCAAATTTCTTCAACGCCACTGGGTAACAGAGGTATGTTGAATTTCACCCTGCTGCCTTGGGTCACAGTGAGTCTGTCTGACAGAGTCTTCAACATAGAAACAATTATCTGGAGACGGCGTCAATTATTTTGCCCGCTTCAATCAGCGCTCGATAACCGTCACCGTCAACTTGGTGACTCTAGTCACATCAGTAATCTTTCTGCTGGGACCGATAATGGCGTTGAACTTCGTTCAGGACCGCACACCAAAACTCATCCTGATTTCAGTTTTTGCTATCCTCTTCGCGTCGAATATCGGCCTCATCACGACGGCAAAGCGAGCAGAGATATTTGATGCTACAGCTGCGTAGGTTCACTTCTTTTGACATCTTTCCATTCAGTACAAGCCATGCTGCGTAAACGAAAATGCCCATGGACATCAAGTATACTAATGCTGAATCGCGCCAGATACGCCGCTGTTTTGGTCGTGTTTGTTAGTAATGGCGAGCTGTCTAGTCAGGGAACTTCCGCGTAGCATAGCACGTCGAGAAGGTTGTCGCCTGTCTTTCTGTCGTCGTCGTCGTCGTTGTCGTCGTCGTCGTCGTCGGTATCGTCCTTACCGTTATCCCTACGGTCGCCGTTCTTCATAGTCGCAACACAGGGATCATAGCCGAACAGACAGAGGAAAATAAGGCGGTCTTGCCTGCCCGCGTGCTCATTGGATACATGGGTATAGGCCAGTTCCCCCGCCTTCACTCTTTGTACTGTGTTCCCGAAGACGGTATCACTGTGTAGGTAAACCGCCCAATCCCGCGGCAAGGGACGGGCTTCTTGCCATCGGCCTTTTGGCTTCTTGGTGTCCCAACTCCAATAAGATGAAATATCCAGATGGTTTACTCGTCTATATAAACGTCTCCAATTCCCCAGCCAAACTCCATCGCCAGTGCAGCAGAATCTCCAAGAAGCGCATTGTTTGACGATTTCTCTTTTTTACACATCACTTTGTTAACCGAATCCAAACACCATGTCGATTACATTCACGCAGACGACTACTGCCACCCTCGACGCCCCGCAGATCCGAGAGCTTAGTCCAGGCTTCGGGGTGGAAGTCCAAGGGCTCCAATTTACGCCGCGCGTGAAGTTGGAGAACTTCAAACTCATACAAGAACTCGTCACTAAGGTGAGCTATCATCCAAGTCTAATCATTCTATTCCATGGCTAAGAATCATATAGTACGGTGTCGTCGTCCTTCGCAAGACTGGACTGACTGATGAAACTCACATCGCGCTTGCCCGTATGTTCGGCGAGCTCGACGACGTCAAGCCCTACAACAAGGCCGGTCGCGCCAACCGGCTCAAGTACGACGAGCTGTTCGATGTAGGCAACATGGAGGCCGACGGCTCACTTGTTGACCCTGCAAGTCCGCGGGCGCAGGCCAATCGAGGAAACTCCTTCTTTCACGTGGACTCGAGCTTCAACCCACGACGAGCGGGGTACTCGCTTCTGCTGTCGCATGAGCTGCCGCCGCCGGGTGCGGGGGGCAACACGGAGTTTTGCGATACCAGGAGGGCGTGGGATGACCTCGATGACGACTTCAAGAAGGAGCTCCTGGAGAAGAACTACGTTGCGTGTCATTCGATCCTCCATTCGAAGAAGTTGGCCGCGCCGGAGCATTTCGCGAATATCGAACCGGCGGATTATCCAATGGGACGGCACAGACTCGTACAGAATCACGAGAGGTCCGGCCGGATGAACTTGTATCTTGCAATGCACATTCATCACATCGAAGGCCTTGGGCCGAAGGAGTCACAAGAGCTGTTCAAGAAGCTCTTTGAGCATGCGACACAAGACAAGTACCGCGTCATGGTTGAGTGGAAAGATGTCGGAGACCTAGTCATTTGGGATAACACGGCGACGATGCATCGCGCAGTTGGAGGGGAGTTCGCTTACAAGTACAAGAGAGACATGAGGCGGGCGACTGTGCATGATGACAGTAGCCAGGCTTGGGGACTGAACGAGCATACTGATGTTAGGCAGGGGTTGCCGTGAAGGGTCTGTGGAGCTTTGAGTTTGACTACTTGGCATGATAGCTTTCACGATGTACAAATGATACGATCTCTTGTGTCTTCGAAATCTTTATCGTTGCGGCCCGCGACCGTCCGCATCCGCCCGCTACCGTCCCTTGCCGCCCGTTGCCGACGGACGTGCTTGGACCCCACTACTTATTACCGACTCGGACCGGCGACATCCAAATTCTGAGCTGAGTGGAATTCATTACTACTTTGAAAATTTCAGAGCATTCCAAGAATGACACTTGGCACGGGAAAGAGATCTTATCGGGCTTGCGTCAGGTGTCGCAGTCGCAAGTCAAAGTGTAACTTGTAAGAGAGCCTTCGGGGAAGCCGGGTTGTAAACGCCGCTAATCTGAATCTTAGTGAAGGGGTAGGAGAGCCCATGAAGCCTCCATGTGTATCATGTTACTACTCCGGAAGTAAATGTATCATACCGGATCGTGGACGGTCTCGGAAGTATGCAGTTGAGCGTGCCGATGGTGCCTCAATTCAACAGGCCGAAACTCCCAGCCCATCGCCAAGACTTGCATCGTCAGCGGTTAATGATGATGGATTGATTCAGAGAGGGCGAGAGGGGGAAGAAGCTAGTGATGAGGATATGCATGAAGTAGACGAGAACACTGAGATGGGACTGAGGAATCCGTCCGATGCACTGCATATCCTGACGCGATCTGGCCCTGCTACGTTGGGGGAGAATCGTCCCCGGGGAGGCCACCAGTACGTTCTTGACCCCGAGGATGCGGAACCTGGACCAGCTGGGTCTGAAGCAGACTCAGCAGGTGGCAGGGGTTGCCATGTTGCGAAACCAAGACATGGCTCTTTCGGGGAACGGAGGTCCATTCTGGATGAGTACGAGTTGACACAAATTGGCGTCCTTCATTCAGACGATGTCCTCGAGCTTCTCACAATGTAAGTTCAGAGATATGGCGTCATCCGTGACCTGCTGACTTGAAAGATACGTACGAGAATACCATCCCTACTGCCCCTTAGTGCCAGCTTATCTTCTTGGACCGTCAGCTTTGGAACGCATCCGCAGGGTTGACTTCTTCCTCTTGACGGTCATCCTCACAATTGCATCAAGAGACTCCACGAAACACTCCGTTATTCATCGTTATTGTTGGAATCATGCCCAGAGCCTGTTGCTCAAGGTTCTTCTGGCAGTTCCGTGGACACAAACTCCTCGAACTGTCGAAGGTCTCTTGCTGCTATCCGAATGGCTGCCTCATGTTGAGAGCGGATATCTGACCTCTGGCAATCCGAAGGATGTCTTCAGAGAGGGGAGAACAACTTGGTCTCTGGTTGGCCAGGCCGTAAGACTGGGATACGCTCTTCGTCTGGATCGCGCAGCTTTCAGGGGTAACGGCAACAGCACGTCTCAGAACCAGGACCAGAATCGGCTGATATGGATGTGTGCGTATGTTTCTCATGATGATTAGAGAGATTACTGACTATCAACAGTCACTTACATCGCTGATCGACAAATATCTGTCCGTCTTGGCCAATCCTTCTGGTCCCGAGGTCCCTCTCTGTCGTCCAACTTCACCGCCAAAGACTTCCCGACCCTCCATCCCACACCTGGATTAATAGACGAGAACTATGCTTTGATCCTGCAAGCTAATCTGGAACTCACCCAAATCTTACACAACGCACATGCAGTTCTGTACTCTTCAACTGAGAGGACACTATCGATGATCCATGAGGGAGATTATCCTCGATATCTGGACGACTTCATGGAATCGGCGACGCATTGGGATTCGCGATGGAAAGACATGCAAGTTTCACCGAATATAAAGCATGCGCTACGCTTGCTGTATGAGTACGTGTGCTTGTACATCAACGCCTTTTCGTTCCATGCTGTTTTGACGCGAGCGTCGAGGCCACGAGCATCAGAGAGGTACAGGCTTGCCAGAACACAGCCTCTTGATTCGTGTTTCAACGGGGGAATCATGTCCTCACCGGATGCGAGATACATAATAGGAGCGATCAGCGCCGCGAGAAGTTTGCTTGGTGTCATGAACGAACTGGACCCGAAGCACACTCTTCGGTATTTACCGTCGCGGTATCACTTGTGAGTCACTTCCTCTTAGGCTCAACACGCGAGAAACAACAACCTCGCTAATCTATGACATTAGATACGGCTTGTATGCTGCTGTCTTCTTGCATAAGGCTCTAGATGCAGATGCAATCCAGGGAACCACTCAGAAAGAAGAGGTCACAAGTCTAGCGCAGCGGTTCATCGCTGCTCAGAAGGAGGTGTCATCGACAGAGTCGCACATCTGCCATGGATACAGCGATCTTTTGAAAAAGCTGTGGAGTTCCAATGGATCAAAACGTGTGCCCGCTACTCAAAATGACACTACCTCATCGACAACCCTGGTGGCTGACACGTTCCCGAAGGCGCTTCTGCAGGACCCCCCTTATCCTGTCGCCGACAGTGTTGTTACTTTGGGTTGCGGAGACCGTATGTCTACATCAAACGTTTCTGACCTAGCGGCTCTCGAGGGCGGTACACCGGACTTTACGTCCTTCGAGAGCTACCTCTTCGGGTCGCTGTGGCCGGAGTTGGCGAGTGTTGGTGACTCTGGTGAGCAGGGATGTCTTGATCAAGATGTTCAATTCGGTTTCAACTTTGGCAGCGTTTTGTGATGTCGTATTTCTGCGGCCGATGGCGGGGGGCACAGGAGCTTGAGGGCTGGTCGTATTGTCGGTCACAATCTTGGCTATTATGTTCAGAATATGTTGGCGGCAAGGTTGCAGCGCTGCCTACAGATGAGCTTGAGCTCTGCCGACTAGGCAGAGTGCTTATCTGTCAATCAAATGTCATTTCATCCTTTTATCGTCGTCGTCCCTTTCATCTTCCACGTTGCCTTCCCCCATAAGCGTTCCTGTCATGTTCTTTTTCATCGACCCTATTGTCCTCATCATCGACATCCATGCCATAACGTTCTGTATGGAAAAGCTCACGCAATCCTTCCTTATTGCGGTAGACGGACGATATCCAGAGTGAAACCACTAGATATGCATACAACTGACTCAATGTGTCACAACTGGGATCATCAAGTCCAATAAGCTTCGGATTGGCGCGCGTTTACTCTGTTGGTCGTTGGTGTTGGTGCGGTCGAGGACCCTTGTCGTACGGCTGAACTTGGAACCAACGGGGAGGACTGCGCCGCCTCCGGGCCGCTGTCGATGCAACCCACACGAACTTGGAAGTGGAATAAACCTCTGGGGATTAGATAGCCGGGCGGGCATGCGATTCCCAATCGAGACATCCGGCCGCTGCAAAACGTTGGATTTGATGGATTTGATGGGGGTGTGCAGGCTGTGTTCTGGTGGACCGTGGACAATGAAAAGGAGACCACCTGCCCAAGAACCGCACGGCATACCCCTGCGTAACTCTTTCTATCCTTCTTACCGTTATCATAACACTCATTCAATTAGCAATGAAGATCACCGTATGTGTAGCCATAATTTTAGTAAAACCACAGCCTAATTTCAACGCAGGAATATCGTCATTTTGAGGAGGACCCCGCAGCTGTCTCTGCGGCAACTCAATCATCCTCAACGTCCTCAGCCAACTTTACACCTCGAACTTTCTCGCCTGCTTCCCTCGACCCAGAAGATGAGGAGGGACATTTAAGCCCTGGACCAACCAACTCCGACCATTCGTCAGCATCGTCATCCGACACCGAACGGAACCTGTCACCGACTCCTGCAAGAGATGGTATGTTCATTTTCCGTGGGTCAACGCCCTCGGATCAAGACACGAAGACACCGGAGACTACGAGAGGAACTCCGTTTTCTCCGGCAGGTCGGCCCCAAAGCAGGGCTATCGCTCTCGACTCAGCATCCAGGTCGTCGACCAGTCCTGTTAGAACACCTTCCGTGTCGAGTGTCACTCCATCCACTGCTTCTACTGATGGTGGACACATTCATCGTCAACCCAGTTCATTGAGGGCCAATCGTACACGAAGTACTGCAGAGATTGAGGCAATCGGGCCTCTTTTGAACGAACTCACGCTCGATGGCGACTCTGGGGAGTTAGGAATGGCGGAACTTCGACAGGCTCTCCCGTCTGTCTCCGTCACAACGGCAAACCAAGGGCCAGAAGCAAGTTCCCCCGTGTTCGGGCTTCGACAAACGTCCTTGAGCCCACGCCCGCCTCGTCGATCCCGCAGGGTATCAAGAACAAATCAAGCCCCTCACGACGTGAAAGACGAAGAGCTGCCTCATGATCGCTTTCACCATCCGGACGTGCAAAACGCGTTTTTAGAAGCGAAGACGCTCATGTCTCGATTGGCTCGGGTTCTAGGAAGCAGTCCACTCCACGTTGATCCGGACTCCGCCATCAAGAGGCTGCATAAGCGGGCCAAAGATCTGTCCCGGTTTCAATGCCCCCCGACTCGTACTGTCGGCTTTGTTGGCGATTCTGGTGTCGGTAAGAAATTGCCCATCTAACGGAACACCGCCTGCAGCTAACACACATCAGGTAAAAGCAGTCTATTGAACTCTCTTCTACATCAAGAGGGCCTGGCAAGAACGGTAGGCATCAATTCTGGAAAGAGGCTAAGATATTCACTAATTATTTTACAGAGCAATAGTGGAGCGGCCTGTACTTGTGTTGTCACGGAGTATCATTACGACATGAGGGATGATTTCCAAGTTGACGTGGAGCTGTTTACTCAAGACGATTTGATGGAACAAGTCACTCATCTATTGCAATCGTACCGCAGATTCCACTTACATGCAGAAGAGATGACTGTAGCAGATGGGCTGGAGGAGGCTAAGGAGCACGCCAGTGTTGCTCGGGACACTTTTCGAGCCCTGTTCCGAGGGCGACTTGGAAACGAAGCCTTCCTTACAACAGAACCGGAAGGCTTTGTGTTGTGGACTTTCAGACGTTGGCTTGAGGATGGCGTTCCAGAACTCGGAGGAAGTCACAACAGAAGCTCCAAGGAAAGCTGCTCAGACTTCTTAATACAACTTACATCCGAGGCGCCTGGGTCACAAGGCCCGGCAATCTGGCCTTTCGTACGAAAAATCAAGTAAGGCGATTCTTTGCTACAAGAGGTGGTGAGGGATCCTTGCTCAAAGGCCACAGGGTATTTCTCGACGCGCACATACTCAGCAAGGGACTGGTTCTCGTAGACCTTCCTGGTAAGTACACCATCAGAATTGTGATTACACATAGGATAACTCATGCCCTGATCAAGGACTTCGAGACTTGAACTCTGCGCGAAGAAGCATTACAGAACGATACCTACTCGAGTGCGACGAGGTGTTTGCTGTATGCAATATTGGCCGCGCAACGACAGATGTAGGCGTGGCGAGCGTGTTTGAACTTGCGCGAAGAGCCGGTCTGAGTAACGTGGGAATCGTCTGCACTAGATCAGATGTAAGGCTGTACTGAAACCCAATCGTGATTGAGTGTTGCTAATACTGAATGCTCAGGATATTCAAGCGTCGGAGGCAAAGAACGACTGGAAGGGTCAGCGAGCGAAACGTATACAGCAGCTGAGCGCCGAAGTTGCGACTGCCAGGGGCCAAATTGATGAAATCAAACGTTTGTTGGACGAGTACGATGATGAAGATCTCACAGAAGAAGAGGAGGACGAGGTGTATGACCTCCATCGGGACTTAAGAAAGGAAGAGTACGACTTCCCTACCTAATGCGATCCAGATTGCTGATGACATGGTTTAGGAAATTTTATGAACAGAAACTATATGAGTAAGTAGATTAACAGGACGGTAGCGAGTCGTTGTTTTCGCTAACCTGTCGAACTTAGTCTCAAAACCTTCTTGGTCGAGACTCGAAACGCAGAGGTTACGAAGAAGCTTCAAGCTAGCTATCGAGACAAGGTCCGGGGTGGGATTGTTCATGTTTTCTGCATCAGCAACACGGAGTACTGGTCCAAGACCATGTTACCGAAAGACGAGGCAATCCCCTCTTTACAGCTGAGCGGAATCATTGCTCTGCGGAAGCACTGTCTCTCCATCATCGCGGAGAGTCAGTTGAGACTTGCCACCAAATTTGTCACCAATGACATCCCTGCTTTGCTTGGAGAGGCCGGATTATGGGTTGAGTCTGGAGCCGGAAGTGCCAATGCGGAACAGAAGTCAGCTGTTCGCAGAACTCTAGACAAGATAGAGCGTCAACTGAGAGAGGTAAGCTGAAAGGCCGACATCGCTGGCTCGTGTTTTACTGATTGGTTAGTAGAATTTGACAGGCCGCGGCTCAGATCTCAGACGTGTGGGTAGAGCAACCAGAGAGCATTTCCAGAACCAGGTGTACGATGGTAGGGTCACTTTAGTCTCCTGATCATCCCGGTCTAAGGGGCTTATTGGAGCTATCTAGATCAACGAACAGATCGATGGAGAAGAACAGCCGTAAACGCAACGCGAGAATGGTACGGTGTGAGTAGACTGAGCCAGTCTGTGAAGTATTTTGACTAATAATGATTGTAGTGGGCGCATCGTGAGTCTAGATTCTGTCGCAATGCCTTGGCTCTCCGCTAATAAAACCAATCAGAGACTTACAGTGCTTTTTGCCGTAACTACGGAAATTATTGCACTCCCGCCGTAGGGCCTCATGATTGGAATCAGGACATCATTGCCAAGATGGTCGGAGATTTGAGTCCACAATGGAAGCGGATGCTTTCGTCTGTCCAGGGTAGACTCAATACAGATGTTGAAAATCTTGAGGATGAGATGGATGCGGCCTTGGAACTACTCTGTAAGGGCCTCAATAGTTTTCCCTTTTTAGGAATGACATGTGCTGATCGCTTGCCTGCTAGCTGCGGAACTCGAAGCTTTCCCAGAAGTCAACGAGGTAATTGGGGAGGTATTGCTTGCGCGTACCAGTCAAATTCTATCCAGGATGGAGTCTTCGAGGGAGACGTTCCAGGATGACGTTCGGTGAGGTATTCTCAACCAAGCCCTGGCTCTATGCTAACTGTTCTGAAAGTGCCCTGGAAGTAGATGCCCTTACAGGAATCCGGACCTCGATCGTCGGTCAGGCAATGGAAGAATCTTACAGGCGCTGTAACATGGAGTATGGTATGATATTTTGGGTCTCTGTTCCGGCGCCTCTCCATGTGGCTAATACTCGAAGCAGGCAGGGGAAGCGACCAACGACGAAAGGGGATCATCAACGGTACGGTGCAGAGCCAAGACTTCTTTGTGAATCACATGCGAGAGTTCCGAAGAAGATGGAAGACTTTGACAGATGAGTTCCAGAAGGAGCTCCAGGACTCGATTAAAGATGAGCTTGGTCTCATGAGCACATCTTTCGACATCATTAGGGACGAGAATGTTGCAACGGAAAGCGAGGAAAACCCGGAACTTAGACAATGCCTGGAGATTGAAATCGGTCGGGCCAAGGAGCAGCTGGAACGCATCAGGGATATCATGACTTCTCAGTAATATCTCGGCTCTTATGACGACACATAGTTATCCCCAAACATGTATTGATTTTGAGTCTGCTGAGCGACCGGGCGGCGCACTACCGCCCCAGGACCTCTCGTTCTTGTCGTTCCTTTTGTCTCTATCATGGCTTTCTTTTTCATGGACCCTCTGATTTCTGACTCAATTGCCCTATGTCTGGGTTGAGACGCTCTTGTCTCCGAGATGCCCGTTAATATGACCACAATCTTCAATTTCCGAAATCGAACAGAAGACCCGTACTCAGCCCGAGGAGTTACAGGCATCCTAATTATCGCTGTTATATGTGCAGGCTTGCCACCGCGAAGATGTGCTTCAGGGTCTCGCATGGTCGGGTGCTCCTACGCGCACGTGAAAGTTTTGGGCGACAATGATGGGAGCCTCATTCTGTAAGTACGGTCGAGATGCTGTAGCCAATGGGATGCATATTTGGAAATCTTAAGCGAGGCCAAGGTACGGAAATGATCCCTTTCCTGGGCAGGCTCTTGGCCCAGTAGGCAACATTCCCAGAGATGGTGAACGGGTTCTTACTTGGTACGAGTATTGTCCGAGCATCCGTTGAAGTGGCTCAAAATTTACAACACCGTGACGAGGAGGAGAGCTTCTCCAGATCTCTTCCTATTGACTGCACCTGGGTCATCTGCGAGAAGCAATAGTCCAGATGCGCGTCGCCCAAACAAGACCGTTGTCAGACGATGTGACATTGATCGAATTAAGAAGACTACACCCATGAAAGTTGCTCCAGGGCCCGCCGCAGTGCATTGCACCCTGTTTTGAATCGCCAAGGCGCTTCGCGGAATTCGTAGCGTGATGCATTTTCAGCTTTCAGCCACATTTCTTGGCATCGAATCAGAGGAGTGGTGGAGCTATCGCAACCCATTCCAATCAGCGGTACGGAAATTGTCACGAGGGCGGGCTGTTGACTCAGTAAAATGTTCCGGGTCCGACTCTTTAAGAGTGATCTGGCCCGGTAGGAGTTTGAACGAAATCCGTGAATGTTAGCAGCAAGATCGCCCATTGCACAGCAAACAGCGTCTGTCGCCGACGGCCTCAGTGACCATGTCTCAGGAAATTCACACGGGAGTCTGGATTGACTGGAGCCATGGTAGAGTTCTAGGCGCCACGATCACCATGTCCGCCCGCGACGGGGCTCTTCTGCTTGCCTTCATCGCAACATTCGTCACCGTGGTCGCAACGAGGCTCTGGAGGATTGTCACATTTGCATGCCATCAGATCCTTGCATCTGGGGGTGAACATGATGGATTGTACTACCAACGACAACTCATTCTCCGAAACACACCGACACCGATGGCCGCCACTGGGTTGTTTCTCCGTCAGGCTTGGAATTGGCGGGGCCACGCGAACTACCCACTCCTCAGAACACTTCCATGGGCCATTGGCGGAGTTTTGTATGTTGCGGTCTTTGCAGTTGCAGCCATATTCTCGTCTCGTATCTCGGATGGTGCCACACAATTCCGATTATTGGCTGCGGGCGATTGTGGTGCATTTGAACCGGCGGACAGGGACGCTCTCCAACAGAAATCAACCTACGACAACTCCATGGCTTCAGTCTATGCTCGACAGTGCTACACAAACTCTTCAGCGGCCTCGTGCAACAGTCTACCGGTCTCTTCGATACGCTGGACGGGAACATCTGTCGAATGCCCTTTTGCGGACGACATCTGCGCGGGATCCACCGGAGCCAGCGCTTTCAAAATGGAGTCGGAGGTGATCAATTCACAATCGCATTTGGGTATCAACGGGGCTGATAAATATCGCGTCGATTACCGAAGAGAAACCGTGTGTGCTCCACTCATCACAGGGTCCAGGTTCGCCCGAGATGTGAACGGAAGCGAAGCAGAGACTTTGGGGTGGGAAGACAACGTTCTGACCAAGTATCTGTATGGGAACCTGGAATCTCGGAATTATACGCATATCTACAACAAGTATGGACAGAATATGCACATTGGATATGGCACTGGAGTCTACGTCTCATTCGCTCACAGAACCGACAACTACTGGAAACCGATAGATGCGTTGGCCCTCGACCACAGAGATATCACACTGATGTTTATCGCACCCAACTCCGTCCTTCATCTGCATCAAAATGACGATCCTGTTTTTGGAGCCAATATTCCTGTGGTTACTGAGGATGGTACCACTTACTATCAGCCCGACCGATACGTAAGCCCTATTGCTTGTGCCGACAGGCATGAGATTTGCAATCCCAATAACGGCATCTGCACTTCTCTGGTAGGGAGTGGCGAGATTATGTCAAGCGCGCGAGAAGAGCGTTTGGAGCTCGACCCGGTACAACTGGCAACTGTAGAGCGACTGTTATTCCATCTTTCGATATCATCATTTTACCATTTGATATGGACACGTACACAGAGCTTTCTCGAGGCACAAGAGTTGGTGGCGGAATTGACGCAGCTCAAATTGCCTTCCGACCAGTGGAAGAGGGAGATGGGACGCCTTTTCGCCGATGCTCTGTCCAAGCTTCAGCACCAAGTGACGGAGTACGCCACGGGACCTTCAATCGCTGTGCCAGGATCGATCTTCAAAGCTTGGAGCGCCAGCGCAAACAGCTCGGAAGCCGACGAGCAGGTGCAAGATGCACATGAAGCAATGTGCAAATCCCAAATTACTAGGGATGCCCAGGGCACACTTAACTTTTCTATCTTGGGACTATCGCTTCTACTAGCCGTGGGATTCGTGATTATTGGGCTGTCGTTTGTCCTGGAACCCACGACGATCTTCTTGCAGAAGAAATCAGGATACGGAGCGACAAAAGCTAAGAGATGGGAGCGAGATGAAAATCTGCAAGTCATGCGCATGCTGTTTGAGTTGAGATATGCGGGCAGATGGAAGGGAAGAACGGACTCTTTCCCAACTACTATCTCTAAGGATCGATTCAGATATGACGCGGATTACCTTGGCGAAGAGCAAATGTACCAGGAAATCCGGCACAAGGCAGGCGGGGTCAAGTCTTGAGATGCGAGGAGAAGAGCGTTCAATTGGGCTGCAGCAGATAATCCAGGGCATCAAGCCTCAAGTGTTGCTCTCAATCGTGTTCAGAACTTAGTAGCCACCAATCAACAATTTCAAGAAAGCGACCCCAGAAAAATTCGTTAGAAATGAATTTGATATCTCAAGACAGCAGCGCTCAAATGACAATCATCCGCGCTTAGCAGGTGGAATCCGGGGGCCCGTCAGTGCTACACTCGATGACGCCGTTCGCCAGCTTAACCGATCCTTCTCTCGTGACTAGGTTGTAATTGTTAGCAAATTGACTCGGAGAATGAACCAGTACGGGCTACGGCGAGAGATGACAGGGCAGATTTGCAAGGCCCGTTGATAAAAGAAGAGCTGGCAAAGGCCAATTGTTTTCGGCAACATGAATGTACAATTAGTGGTAATAAGAACTTACTGCTGGGTGTTGTAATTACAGCGACCTCCTTGGGACTGTTCTCAGGGTCGATGCAAGTTTTGAAGCGGTATGTAAACTTTGTGCCTCCGGGAATGCCCAGCTCAGTCGGCCGGTTGTTGATAGCAAACTCAATATCGCCCTTCCTGATAGGCGAAGGAACTCCAGTGCCGTAGCAGACTAGATCAACAGCCGAAGCGGCGCCAAGGAAGGACGCGATGGCGGCGAAAACGAATGAGGACTTCATGTTGTCGTGAATGTGAATGGGTATCAACGTTCCAAAGCGAGAGTGGTGCGAAAGAGTGGTTGAGGTAGCTGACTGATCTCACCAATCGTTGAGGCCGACATGCACGTCTTTAATAATTTCGACATTATTAAAAATAGTAGATTCCTAAGGTAAAATTCCACGTAGAGACACCTCTTACGACGGGTCACGGTCCTCATTGCGGCCGTCGAAAAGTCAATGTCTTTGAGTCATGATTGCATTTTAGCAACTTGTAACCGCTTGGCACGCCGCGAACTCCACATCACTTTGCTCCCGCAACCGATGGGCGCATTAAGCCTCTGAGGATAGGTATAGCCCAGACCAGTTGTCGTTTTAAAATGAGTTCAAGAGTCACTGAAAATTGCCTCAAGCTGAGAGATGAGCCACGCGGGACCACTTTGGCGTTCTCGTTGAAGATTTAAGCCAGGGGAGCTGCACCAAACTACACGAAGTCACGTATCACGCATACTTACTACATGTAGGCACCTTTGTGTCGGAATTTACGGATATTACGAGGATAAAAATTACAGTGGTAGAAGTTTCCCGCGGTATGGTTTCTGTTGATCTTAGTCCTTCTGGTGATTAAATACGAGTAATGTGGTGGTAGTTGCACGCAACCCCTGAAGGTGTTAGAGTCCTTCCCCAGTTTCATTTTGACAGCCCCGACGGAGACTTCTGGACGCCCTTCTACCTTGCTTTAGATGAACACGTCTCAGCCATTTCATTCGGACCCCAATCGTCCAAACTCTATTGAGCTTATTGCCTGCCCACCCCGGGTCGTCCTGCTTGTCCCTCCCGCGTTGCGCACCGGCTCCGCTTGGTTCCCCTGTCTTGGCCACTCGGTTTTGTACTAAGCTTAAGCCCCCATGGTTGAGACGTCGCATGAGTTAGTCGTTCCCTAGACCGTCTACGGAAAGTTCGCGGTGTCCGTCATTTCGGACAGAAGTAGACCAGGCAGGCTGCACAGAATCGAATTGGAGCCCGGAGTCGAGACCGAATGGCTTGCGCCTCATATCACGCGTCCCTCTGCGCACAGGTTGAGGTGGTCCGACTACACATTGGCCAACTCAGTCTCCCTGGCTATCCCGCTTCATGAGCGAAGCTTTTCGGCGCCTCTGGAAGATGCTCATCTCAACTGCCTGGTCCATTGGCTGCCCTTCAGCTATCGGCAGAGCTTTTAAATAGTCGTCGTCTGAGAGGTCCAGTTCATATTGACGGAAGACTCTTACTAACCGGGCGGATAACTACTTTACTACCTAGGTCTAAGAGTTCAGATTAATGATTTGTTATTCCTATATCCCTTTCGTCCCAGTCGTCCCTGTAGTCCTTGTAGTCCTTGTTATCCTTTTCGTCCTTATCGTCCTTATCATCCTTATTATCCTTGTCGTCCTTGTCGTCCTTATCGTCCTTATCGTCCTTATCGTCCTTGTCGTCCTTGTCGTCCTTGTCGTCCTTGTTGTCCTTGTTGTCCTTATCGTCCTTATCGTTCTCGTTTTCATTGTTGTTGCTATCGCTCTCGTTACTGTCTATATTGTTGTTGATTTCTACTACTCGCCCAGATAGCTAGGATCGAACTGCTCATAGAGCAGGTTGACGCATAGGTTGATATCAGCCAACTTTATAAACATAGCTTCTTAGTCTGGGATTAGTGTTGTGAAGCACTGAGGTGTGAGCGTGATATTCCTTTTTGGGGGGATGCGCTGTAAACCATAGTATGCCTGCCGTGGGTTAATCTACAATCGAAAAAGTGAGCTGAGCGATCGGGAAGTCAGCGAAAACTTTCATGTACACGCGGGCGGCAGCGATGCGCTTCATGTTTCGCTTGGTCTAGGTGGTATTGTCGTGCCTCTTCTGTGGCGTGTTCTTTGCTGCCTGGGCATTCTCCGCTAAGCGGCCGACGTGGACAGTGGTGTCAGTGAGGTGGCGCTCGCGAGTCGGGTTTGGCGGGTAGACCTGGGTGTTGGTATTCCAATTGCGGAATACTGCTTTGAAGACTGTGTCGCGTGCCCGCTTATAGCTCAGGTCGTCGGCCATGGGATCATCAAGTCTGTTAACGCGCCATAGGACGGGCAGGAGGTCATCGGCGATCCCCTTTCCCCAGTCTAGCGGATCGTCAATGGACTCTGCCAACTAAGCAGAATTGAGGTGATGGACGGCGGTGACCGTTGAGTTGTTGTGGAGGCGAGTCGCGCTTTGAGCTTGTAATCTGAACCCGGCGTTGGTGTCGAGTCGTCTGCCCATCTTATGGTCGTATAAATAGTAGGGATCTGTCCAATTATTTTGAATACTCTCAACCTCAGCTTCCGCCTGCATCGACGGGGAAAGGCCGGAGCAGCACTGGTAGGCGTTGTGGTCCGTTGTGCTGATGAAGTGTATGATAAGTGATGACAGATATCGGCTTCGCCAGCATCAAGCTTGAGGGTACGCTCCGCGAGGCTGAGGCTATCGACAGCATCAATCATTTCAATAAAGGATACAGACGAAAACAAGATTAAACCTCCCGGTATTCCTCTCTATTCTGTAGGTGCCGGTGTAGAATGGAGTGGACAACTCGAGACGTCATGCCAACGATTACAGTGGTGCCTTTGATTCTCAAGATGGCTTCATCGCTGTCCATTCCAGATTGATTCAGATACCTAGCAGCCAGAACCTCGCTCTATATAAGAGGCCAAGTTGCTGACCAAAGCTGACAAAATGGGCGAGGAAGAAAGAGAACACAGAACGACACATCAGGCTGTAACAGCAGCGAGATGTGCCAACGGCGCGTTTTCCCGTTCCTCTGATTTCTCCGCCTAGAGATGGGCAGAAACGTCCAAGACCGAGCTAACGCCGAGGAAGGCTTCCTCCTGCAATTGGAGCGTCAGCTTCTCAGTCATAACATAGGCAGGACGCTTTGTGCGTTGATGCCTGAGCCACTCTTCCTAGGTAGAATCGGCGGATTTGCCAACCTTGTAGAACAATAACAACGAGAGACAATACGGGAGAGAAGAAGACCTCGTGTACGGATACATGGGACTCGTGAGCGATCTCCCGGAGAACATAATCGTTCATTGTGACCTCGGGTTCGAGGGCGTCTACGATAGATTGATGAGGGGACGAGGTGTCAATCTCACAGTGCTCTGTAGCTCGTCCAACGTGGCGTCTGGGAAGTTCTGGATGCCCAGGGGCAGGGACAATCGCTTGGAGATTGAAGCTGATGGACACCCGTCGATTGAGAGCAGCGGGCTGGTCAGCAGCGGGGGCCTGCTGCAAGTCAAGGGGTTCATGATAACGCTGGTGAGTGTAAATGCAGCGGTTCTAGTGCTGAAGCCGGTGCGTCAAAGGCACAATTACGCAAAGGTAGAGATAGGGGCGGATGATGATTCGTGGTTCGGAATAGTCTATGGCCGGCGTTATCTGTCTCAGGAACAACTTGGGCGCCACACGAATGTGGAGGTGCTCTGCTTGAAGGTGAAGGGGTCAGGGGTGGAATCGATTATGTTGTTGGTGGGACAGCGGTCGGGGAATCGGTTCCATCGAGAACAGACAATATTTCTCGCAGCAGATGGACCATCCGACGTGGTTCAAAGTACGTGGGAAGTTGGATTTGAGTCCAAATAGACTGCGCACAAGCGAACAATGCCAGAGACTATGCCGCCAGTTCTAGTGCTCTTTCAGTCCCTCAATGGTGTTTTGCCATTTCTGGCAGAACATGTTTTCACTCGAGTCGTCAAAGCTGCCAGAAAAGATGTGGACGATGGAGAGAGGGGTCACCGCACATGGGATGCTCCCGACGAGGCCTCAGTGCTTTTCCGTGGAGGGCCTTTGAAAGGCCGGGCGCTTACGCATGCCAAGACAGGACCCCCGAAGCTGAGCCCTGATGTAACCTATGTAAGCGCCGATAACATCAGGCTGTCAGTTTTTCTCCCCCATAATGGAGAAGATGTCAGATTGTTCAACTCTTTGATTGGTCTTGAAGCCTCCCGATGCGGGGATCAAGATCCTTCCGTTGTTCCTCTCGTTTTCCCCTTGCTTGGCCGTGTAAGGCTGCAACGCAGATTTAGAAGGATTGCGTAGCTTTCTGCGAACCAACTTCATTTAAGAAGCTTATCATCTCTTCAAACTCCACCCCCATAGAAGACATTATTACCTTATGACTTTTGACTCTTTGAACAAAGTCATCAGAGACCGGGAATGTTATTGACATCCATGCGCCTGTGGATGGCTGGGTTGGTACTTCCAATGATCGAGGAAGTATTGAAATTCTCTGGGACTGTTGCTTCACTGTTCTTCTCTGTTGCTGGGTTGCTACACATCCCAATGCCTCATCTCCTTCGGACAGGGGGTATCATCACTTTATCGATAAATTTCACCTGGCTATGCTAGGTCTGCTGGGACCCGACTTTCTTTTCTTGACTGCAGTGGGGCAGTTGTCAAATGCACGGAGGAGTGTAAAAGTATGTTACAATGCCTAAGTCGTGCGAAGTACGGACCTAGGCTCCCCTGACCGAGTTTGTAGTTATTCAATCGCGATGCGGAGATGTGTAACAGGGTTACCTGGACGTACCGGCATGCTTTCTACGTTGATATGGGCGGCTTATTTCTGAGAAGCCCAGACTTCCAAGAGGGGTTCCCAATCACTGCCGAAGAGCTTTATTATCTTGTAAAACATGGGCACGTAGACTTCCCGGACATGGAATCTATGAAAGTGGCCAAGATCGACACCGCAGACACCCTGTCCAGGTACTGATTCCTCTCTTTTCTCTCACAAGTCCATGACATAGCGTTTGGGAGCCCTGAGGCGGAATGCAGTAGCTGAAAATGTGCTTCCAGAGTTCTCACTGTTCTCCAAGTCATATGGTTCGGTGTTGGTCAGATCTCACGGATACACAAGGGGCTTCCAATGACCACCTTGGAACTCACAGCACTATCGTTCGTCTCGGTTACAATCTTCACTTCGGTATGCTGGTACTGGAAACCCTCCGTCAGCCAGCCAAAGTACATAGATACCAAGAACGGAAAGTTAGTCAAAGAGATCCGTGCCAAAGCCAGGTCAGAGGTATGCTTATAACCGCTCCGGAGCAGATAAACACTAATTATTTGTCCAAAAGACGCACCCTAACCTCCCCGTCGACGACAACGACTGGTACAGAACTCCTATTCATTTCGTGAGCGGGAACCCTTGGCTGTTCGGTGCTCACATCGCGTACTATTATCGTTTCTTGTATCTGATGCGTTTGAAATTACTCTCCCGTCGTATGAAGAAGCGACTATGGGATCGAGTTCCGCCAGATATTTGGTTTCCTGCGCACCCAATTTTCTTGCCACTCGTCTTTTTGGTTCTCGGCTTTTTTGGCGCGTCATTTCTCCTAGCCTGGAATTTTTACTTCCCAACTCGTTCAGAGCAACTTTCTTGGAGAATCTTTGCCTCATATCACGCTTTCTTCATCTTACAAGGCGGGTTGTACTACATGGTCGATGTCTACAAGTGGCATCAGCGTCATAACGCCAAGTACGCAACCTCCTCACAACAACCCAATGATCATGAGCTATCGGCGCTTCCAACCACCCGCAATGATCTGGAAACAGCTGTCCCACAAACGCCGCCAAGATTGAAACAGCGCATATACAATAGGCTGCACCGCTGGGCGACGGCGTGGAGAAATTTGTCGGTTGAAGATGACCCAGATATGGCGATACCACTACGTGTTAGTGTGCCAATGTCTGTGCTTCTCTTTTTGTATGTCGCTGGCCGCTTTTTTGTGTACATCGAAGATTTCTATTCTCTTCGCCGACAGCCGTCCGGCGTTTATCTGACGGTCAATCGGTTCATGCCATTTTCTGGATGAGGTTTTCAATGATGACCTTATCCTGATTGTCACCCCATTGAATCTCCGTTACCTTCAACGGCACGAGTTTATCCAGGGATAGGCAAGACACGCAAGACGCGCAGAAACTCTGGATCAGAAGTCATAGAAGATCAATCGACAAGCAGGTGTTGAGCTGTTGTTGATACAGAGCCTGGAGCAGCTTTCATGAAAGATCTCTCATTTGATTGTAATTCCACTGTGGATCATTGATTGATTGACAAACAGCCAATCAGGGCGCGTCCTGACGCGTTCGCTTCTCTGAGCTGATCGTGAAGTCCAATGTAATTTAGATCCATGTCCTCTGGCAGCTGGGCCTCAGGGATCGCGTCTTCAACTCGTTCCGTCTCGAACTCGGGAGCCCGACTTGGATTTTGAGCCTCACCAATCCAGCCAGAACGCTCAAAATGCCCCCCTCTCGAACGCCGAAATCCCATGCGGCTAAGAGCGCAGCCGATGTCGCCGTCTACGGACCCAGGCCGGGCATCAAGACGGAGCCATCCGCTCATTCAGGTGCCGCCGACTGGCCCAGAAACTGTGGCAGCACATGCTTTTGCAAACGAACAGAGACCAGAAAAACCGTTTTCCTTATTCTCAGACGATTACAACCAGGTTCTCAGTGAGTGGGGACACGACATGATGGGTCCTGATCCTCTCAGAGCCATACGCGAATTCAGCAAACGCCAGACTGAGCTGTCACACGCTGCCGCGGTTGCACCGAAAAGCCCGCAACAGGCAACCCGCACTTCCGATCCAGACAATTTCAGGATGGAATCCCCCGTTCCAGTGAAAACCGAGCGACAATCCGACGAAGAGGCCACAAGCCGTACAGCAGCCCAAGACACTGAAGCTGAAGGACGCCACTCAGCCCGTTTTGTAGATGGGGCAAAGAAAGAGGCGGTCAGGCCACATCTGAAGCTTCGCGTTGCACTGCCTGCTGACAAAATGGGTTTAGCAATCTTTCAGGAGAACCTATGACACTAGGGTCACGGCAACTTTGCGCGAAATCTTAGAGGCCACCGTTCATAGTCCATCCAGTCCCATGAGGGTGATCCCGTCTTCTGGCTCGGTGTAGCCCTCGGGTGCCCTCATCCACTTCTTAGGAATGGACATAGATGTACGTCTTGACATAGCTTGGGTCACATGACATACGGTTATAAACAGACTGGTTTGGCTTTGCTTCCAAATAGGGGGGCGGCGAGGGCATGCCAAAAAGGCGTATGTGGTGCGGCAACTCTTGCACCAACGGGTTGGCCCGTGGCTTCTTCAAATCAAGACCCATTCGCTCCGCCTTGCGCCGTAGAACTTCAAGATAGTGCATGTTTTGAGTTCTTCTGGCTTGCATTCAGCAGACCAAAAACTGGCTCGACGGGGTTGAAGTCATAATCTCCGGCTTTGAGGCTCTTTAATAAAGTCTGGTTATTTGAGAAAACAGCGGCGCGAACGAAATGCGATCAACGGAAGAATAAGGTACCTGGAATAAAAGTTGGCGCGTAAAAGTTGACCAACGTTGGTCAACCCGTGGCAACGAAGATTTAGCTTTGTGTGAGTGGACCACGGCACTTCGGTCCTCACACCCTGGCGGACAAGCTCCATCTCCGATAGCCTCAAGATCATCATAAACATGAAGCTGCTCTTCTCTTCATCGGACAAACTCAGAAAAAACAACTCATGCCTTCGCAGCACTATTGAACTTCAGCCTCAGCGTCCATCTCACCTACCAAACACCATCATGTCTGCAGGACCATCACATGTACAAACCATGGAAAACTCTACCATCTCACCCAAAGACACTTTATTCTTCCAGGAAGCCATTGCCCTCGCCGATCAAACTCTCAAAATCTCCTCCAGTGGGCCTTTATGCCCAGTTACGAAGAAGACGGCTAACAAACTCAAGGAGTCTTCTCAAGCAGGCCTGTTCCCAGCATCCAGGAAAGACGAGCTCTACACTACAGAGGACTATCGCCGCCACGTGCGCGACGACACAAAAGATCTGCTGGAGTATTTCGCAGACGAAGCTAAGTACCACGATCTCATTACCGAGCTTTGCCAGATCTTTCGCGAGCATTATGTCCTCAGGTACATGGGCTGTCATGTGGATGGCTTGCCGGTGGCGCTTCACAAGCTGTGCGGTGCGAAGAGTAACAACCACTGTGTGGATTACATACGCACGCGAACGAATCCAACCTGGGATGAGCTAGTGCGAGGAATGAAGGAGGAAAGGGTACTTATTTCTGATTATGAAGCTGCGTTCTATAAGTATAAGAAAGAGTTGGAAAGGGAGAAAAGCTCGACGCCTGCAAGCTGGAAATCCACGTATGTGAATCTGAATGTTCCAGCAGTGGAGCCGTGGTATTCGACTGCACCCGGGCCGTGGGATCTCCCACCCTCTGAAATACCATATCCGGAGCTATGTGGTTCATTCGTACCTGTAGCATGGGACTCATCGGCGCCTGGGTCGTGGGATTCAGCAGTGCCTGAACCCAAGGATTCAACATTAATGGGGCTGAGTGATTCTATATCACTTGAGGCTTCGGATTCCCCAGCGCCAGGACTTTTGAGTATACTCAAGGATCGGGACCCAATGGCCAAGAACCAGAATCCGTTGCTGTCTCCAATAGAAGCATCGGCATCTGATGTTCTACCGACAACCAGTCCTTATGAAATAAACGATGCCTTGGAACCAACAACTAACCAGCAGAATCCGACCCCGCCTCCCACTGAGGAGCCAAGTCCCCCACCTGTCCGTCCGCTCCGCCCACTGACCCCGTCAACAGACATCATCAAACGAATCGCACACCTATTCTGCGAGGACGGATGGGTTCGCAGTAACGAGCACGGACAAGGGCATGCCGATTTCCTCCAAATCATCAAAGAAAACACGCCCAGCGGCCGCAGGCAAAGGGACTTCAACCGCTACACGGACAAGCTCCTGCGTGGAGAGTACGACGAAATGGCCGGCCACCTCCGCCGTGACAGGAACCGTCTCAAGACACGGCTGCACCGCGCAGAGGACGCGAGCCTGCGATCGGTCTTCAGCGACGCGATCAACAAGAAGGAGAAGTCCCTGTTCTTGGTGAACAAGTACGTATTCAATGGTTACGATGACCCGTTCTGGAGGGTGTACCCGACAAAGGAGGCGGTAGAGATGAGCGTGTTCCAGGATTACTGGGAGCAAAGGCCCAGACGTCGCACTGACGATGAAGATGACCCCTTTGGAATACCTGATATGGGTCTCGGGCCATTTAGTTGGTGAGCAACGTGTGGTAATTACACCGGACGGGACTCCTTCATGTAGCTGGAGAAGATCGGTAGTTACGAATATGAAGGCCATGTCTTTCAATATGAGTCCAGGCATTATTGGCAAGTCATCGTGCCTTGGAAAGGTTAAGCCCGGATCTTCCAGGTCAGTTCTGAGGCATGTTTCATACGAAGCGTGTTGAATCTTGGTCCCGGAGTTTGTCGGTGGCAAGCGGTAGACCAAGTTCGCGTATCAACACGTTTTTATCTCTGAAGTTCTATTGCTCTGTAACTCTTGCTTCTAAGGGCTATCTAGCTTCTATTATAGTTGCTAGCCCGCTGTGGTTTGTTGTTAGCATTTATCCAAGTCAAATGGGAGAAAACACGTACAACTGCCACAGACACCATGGTACTGATGGTTGGCGCGCATGCTAAATCTGTAGGCCTGTAGCTCGTTCATATCATCTTCCTGCCAGTCAAAGTAGTCCGAACAAAGGTCAACCTCGACGATAGGTGTGAGATCCTCTTGATCCCGTGACAGGATAGGTTGAGTTTGGTCTCGGGGGTCGACTTCAGTGTTGCGGATGCCCGGGCCGCAAGCAAAATCGCAGGTGTCGCGTCCGTTATGTTGGTTGACGAGGGACAGTCGCAATCTGTGGCGCAAATAGTAGACTACCCAGCGTGTGTTGAGGCGACCTTGGCGTCTGAGCTCGGCCGCGTCCATGTCCATGACGCACTGATTGTGAACTCTATTGATATCGCAAAGGTAGTCGGGATCGTAGCGGATGTCGGTGTCGGAAGGGAGGCGACCGCTCTTCGAGTCAAACATGGGAAACTCAACTGTGTCGGAATTCACGTTGAAATCGGGCCTGGTGTAGACCCGGGCGCCGGCTCGGCGTTCCTCACGCACCGGTGTTGGAGGCGTATCGTAGATCAGGTGACCGACCGGCACCTTGACTCTAGAATATGTGCGGCGGCGGGGGGTTTGAGCAGGTGGGAGCGTTTCGTCGTTTGAGTTCCAGTTGTGGAAGACAAGTCCCCAAACCAACTTGCGGGCTTGCTCGAGCTCGATGCCGTCGTTGTTGAGGTTCTGTAGAAGTCGGTTTCTGTCCCAGAGCAGGCGGATCAGATCGTCGCCCAACCTTTGCTCCCCGGGCGTCAAGTGCGTGTATGATGCAACCAACTAGGCCGAATTCAGGCGGTAACGAGGTTTCAAGTCCTGTTTGGACCGGTTAGGCGGGTTCGTAGCCATGCTGGAGTGGTATGTCGATATGTTGTTGGAAAAGGCCAGAAAAACAAATGAAGTGGCGTGAAGGACGAGGACGAAGAGGACGACAAGGACGACGAGAAAGACGAGGACAACGAGGACGACAGCAAACACTGGACGAGGGCAGGAAGAACGGGGCCCAGCGCCTCGCATGCGTTCCTGCTGGTGCCGAGGAGCGCTTCTAGGAAGGAGCGACGTTCTTAAGATAGAAAGAGCGGATGGGAGGTCTTAGTCCTGTTTCTTCCTGCCCTTATTTGTGTTATTATCCTTAGGCTTGATGGCTCCTGCCCACCCCCGTCGTCCTCGTCTTCCTCATCGTCCTCGTCGTCCTCGTCCTTGTTCTTGATGCCCTTGAGCTTTTATACCCTTATTGTTTATGTCTTTGTCCTCGTCCTTTGTCGTCCCTATCTCTTGTACCGGAGGTCATCCTGATGGTTATATCCTCTCCATACGACTGTTCACAGAGCCGTCTCAAGCATACTTACACAACGCCGATGTCATCACCGCAGAGACCGTCGATTCTACGGATGCCACCACTCCCAACTACCGAAGTTCGACATTGCCCGTCAGTCGTAGACAACGCTGTGCAGAGAGCTATTTTCGACAATGCCACCAGCTTTGCGAACCAACTCCTGGGAGGCACGCGGGTCCTCAGCAATGGCACACGCGAGGCAGCCAATATGGTTCTTGAGCATGCTGCCAGAGGTCATGACCAGGTAGCTACAGGCACGGCTGAGTCTGTTGGTGAGGCCGCTCGGTTCACCTCACATGCCCGCACTCGTCTGGAGGCCTATCTGCGATTACAAGACAACAACGATGCTCTGATGCGAGAACGGGACCAAATCCGGCAGAGGTCCTTAGTGGACGGGTATGGAGACTACCTCAGCCGCCTCCTTCGGTGCATTCGGTCCGGGACGTTGCGAGTGTGGCCTGCCCTACAGACATCACGAACACTACCACACCTCATGACCTTTTTACAAAAGGCAACTGGGGCAAGATCTCGGAGTTGGTGGATAGCGAAGAACGCGCAGCCATGATGTGGGAGCTTGACCCCAGTGAGGGCAGGGGCGCATGCCCCGACCAAGCAATGATGGAGTACCTGACGAACGTCGCGTGGCAATTTGCGCAGAACTCTGATCCTCCTCTGCGCGGAGAGTAGCTGGAATTTATTGTACGATCGTACGGGCAGAGGTGCCAAAGAGCACATACCGACCTGCAGCCCCTCCTAAAGAAGAGAGATAGAGAAGGCCTCCACAATATGCTAAGCGCAACGGACGGCGCGATCGACGGGACCTTCCACAGGGGCGCAGAGGACGATGCGAGAGCGGCCTTACACTACACCGTCAAGTTTTCCTACGATTTTTACCTAACGATGAGAGGATTCGACGTCTTACCGACGTAGAACGCGATCGACTACGGAACTCATGCCGAGCGATGTCAACAGGGACCACGAGAACCTGGAGCCGCGACAGTCTAGCTGAGACGATCACAACATCCCCTCCACGCCCAACAGTACTCCCAACCCCAACTCAAACGCAACACATCCAGCTTGCCGCCACACCTGTCTCCCAGTGTCCGGACTCTAACGCCGAGGACGGGGTTATTGCAAGCGCCACCACCTGTGCTGAAAGGCTTCTTTCAGGGTCTCGAGTAATCAGCAATAGTACACGGATTGCTGCCGCTGTCCTGAAAGAGCAGGCAGATTGGGGACATCGCGAGCTTGCAAATGGATCCCTAGATAACGCACAGAGGGCCATCCGATTTATCCAATGTGCACACACGAGGCTGGAGTCCTACCTAGCACTCAAGGAGACGAACGCCCGGCTAGCAGCATCCCATGCAACAGCAGTTGAGGAACGCAATCAGTTGCAGCGACAGCTATATCAGCTAAACCACGTCGCTGCAATCGATGCATACGCCGACTATGTCGGCCGGCTTCTCCGTGCAGTCCGGAACAGGGTGCAGACGGCTGTCCGCAACAAGCAAATATCGCCAAAGATTGCAAAGGCCGGGTTCCCACATGCCGACTTCCTGGATAGGGATTGGGCAGGTATCGCGGTTCGCCTGCGAAAAGAAGCCGTGGCAATTGCGAAGTGGGCTGTTGACACAAGTGTTGACAAGGGCGCCAGGCCCAAACCTGACATGTTAACGTATTTAAGCGATCTCAGCTGGCAGTATGGCCAGGATTTCAACGAACGCCTGCGGGTAGAGACACTTGCCTGGATGGTGAAAACCTACGGCGACCGCTGCGAGGAAGCCTCTAAATTTAAGCCGCTCGTGAAGATGAAAGATTGGGTTGGGCTACACAATCTAATTGAGAGCGCGCGAGGTGCTGTTCTTACAGCCTTCAGCCGACCAGCTGACCGAATGGTCATGGAAGCGCTATCTTGTGCAACCAGCTTCTGTCAGCAATGGTATTTCTGCCGACCGACACGCCGCAATAACAATCAGCGGCACCTTCCCACTAGACACGCCACGGATGAGGCCGATCGCTTGTCAAGTCGCGGGGGGTGGAGCAGCAGCACGCTCGACGGCGACAAGAACGACGACCAAGACGAGGACGAGAACGACGGAGAAGAAGGGCGACGACAGACGATGACGGACGACGTCGCAGAAGGAGGATAACGACGGACGAGAACAGGGACAAGAATGATGATAGTGAAGGAGATCATGGCAATAGCAGTAACAGCGCCAGGGGTAGAAACAGCAGAAACCGTACCTAGCATCACACACAAGTAGATGACTCGAGTCAGCTCGAAGATATCCAGATTTCACCATATCCAGGCTGCTGGCATTAAAGGCGTTCAGAAACGCCGCGAACTTAACTTCATCTATTGAGATTCCCAAAATCATCAGGAAAAGATTTAAAAACTATGTTGTCGGAAACGCAAAAATGTATCCCGACCTACCCAGGGATCGAACCTAGAATCTTCAGAGTATGACTTGGAGCAGCCGAAATCTGACGCGATGCCATTTCGCCAGCAGGCCAATTGGATGCAATTTCGGGCGAGATTTGGGGCTCATATACGGCGGGCAGGGATCTGCTCGTTTGGTGTTAGTGGTTGTGCGGGGCGAAGAGGAACCCTTACAGGTGCGGGCAGTCTGGGGAATCTTAGCTGTTGGTGAGTTGGTTGGTTGCGTGAGCAGATGCTATCGCAACATTTAAGCAGCAGGAAATCTTGGTGGACTTGATTTGACATGAGGTGGGATACAATTGTATATTGTCTGCTGGAGTTTTTCAGGGAAGAAACTTAGTTGCGGGTAGGCAGTCAAGTTCAATCCAGTGATTGAAGTCTGAATCAGCGCTGAAGTTGGGGCGCACCTCTGAGTGCCCATACCTAGAAGACAGGGAACCGCAAACTTCTTAGGCGTCGAATGCGACCTTTGAAAACTCCTGCGAAATATGTTCCGAAGAGGCAATCTTCGCCTACATGCCGCCATCTATGCAAGTATGTTGAATACGGGGTCGTCATAGTAGGGGAGAGTTTTCGGAACGCCCACCGCGAACCCGACGACCCCCTCCACTATCCGACGAACGCCTGTCGGCCCCGCTTCGAGGAATGGTTTCCTCGATGATTGCGTCTGAGTATCGGACGAATTTTCGGTTTTCCGTCTTCGCCGAATCCTTGAAGTATATCTAAGAGTGCTAGTGATATCTAGTGCCAAGTCTGCCCATGCTCTGCCCATGCTAAACCACAGCACCCTTTCCCCTTCGTCGCTGTTAACCCCAAGCTGCTGCAAGTCAATATGCCTACCAACAAAGCTGCCTGGCTCACTGAGCCGAAATCATATCCCTTCCAAATCAAGGATGCCCCGTTTCCTACGGCTGGACCGGGAGAGGTTGTTATTAGGAATGTTGTCACTGCTTTAGTGAGTTGCGCTTCTTCACTGGTCCATTGCGCAAGGTTCCGGCTGATGTGAAGGCAGAACCCCGCCGAGTGGAAAATACAGTAAGACTGCTCGCAACAGCACGTGAAACGGAAGGCTGATTATAGATCAGAGATCTCGGAGTGATTGTGCAGAAATATCCAACCATCCTAGGAGCGGATGCGGCTGGACACATCGAAGATGTTGGCGAGGGTGTTACTCATCTGCAAAAGGGCCAGCGGGTGATAGGGTGCGTCCACAATCCGACGAGCCATCGTCCCCTTGATTGACCGATTTTCACTGATGACTGACTGTAGATATTGTACCGGTCTTGGACTTCAAAATCATGAGTTCGGAACCTTCCAGCTCTACAGCAAAGCCGCCGCAAACCTCGTCTCGCCGATTCCCGACGACATGAGCTTCGAGGCGGCGTCGGTGCTTCCCCTCGCCATCGCAACTGCTTCAGTGGGCCTTTATAAGAAGAAGTATCTCAGCCTACCTCTCCCAAGTCTGAAGCCATCGCCGACAGGAAAGACGCTGCTGGTATGGGGTGGAGCCTCATCAGTTGGCGGCACGGCGGTGCAGCTTGCGGTTGCCTCGGGATTGAGGGTCATCACGACGGCTTCAAAAGCCAACTTTGAAAAGGTAAAAGAGTTAGGAGCTGATACCGTTCTCGACTACCACTCTGCAACTATCGTCGATGATGCCATCAGGGTGTTGTCTGGGACGGACGTTGCGGGAGTTTACGATGCGATCTCCTCTCCTCAATCTTTGCAACCCATCGGCGCTATCCTCGACAAGCTTGGGGCGCACAAAGTGATAACGGTGCTACCTGTTGAGGGAGACTTTGGTCAAAATGCGATCATATCGTTCGGTAAGTGATTACGAAAAGTTGTGCTGGTTACTCTGACAGTTTTCACAGAGACGGCCTTTCAAATCACTGAAAATCCTCAGGAAGTCGGCGATCCGGTTTGGAGAGAATTTGTGCCTGGAGCGCTCAAGAACGGTCAGCTGAAGGCCAAGCCGGACCCCGAGGTGGTGGGAAAGGGGCTGGAGTCGATTCAGGCTGGGCTTGAGCGGCTCAAGAAAGGGGTCTCGGCGACGAAGCTGGTGATTCAATACTGAGGTGGGGCTCGTCTGAGGAGGAAAGATCTGTGTGTACGTTATGCAGTAAGTTTGAAATGCCAAAAGATTAAAAACTTCAAACGGGGTTGCAGGATTCTGTCTGTGCCGTGCATGCATGCATGCTTCGGGATGCAGTCAGCGGGATCAGCTGGTCCTCCATCAGTGCTCTGGAGAAGTTCGGTGAAGGCTTCACCTTGAGCTCACCTGAAGCTCACCTCCGAGTATGCGCACGTGCCAATGGTCGATGCGAAAAACAGGCGGCGGGATTGGCTCGGAAGACACCGACCGACCTCGAAAACCGGAAATAACTGGGGCAACTGAGGCCGGACTTCGGCTGTTCTGTTGATCCATAACGTCACGCCGCATTCATCCAGATCCGTGCGCGTGCCCCACCATGACGCTATCCTCCTTACAGCTAGCGCGATGACAGCTTGCCTGCAGGCAGCACCAAAGACGGGCAAGAGCTGGGCGGGCAGGGTCCAGACTCCCTCCGAGGAAGCCGGCAGCGCCGCAGTCGCAGTCGCAGACAGCAGTCGCAGGCTGCCAAGGCAGCAAGCACTACAGCGTCACCACCAGCGAACGGGAAGGCAGCACCACCCGTCGGGTCGGATGGTTGTTGGAGGGGTTCTTGACTCCTTCCCCGTCCATATTCGGCGCCCAAAATCAAGCCGGCGGACGGAGCCTGAACCTGACTGCGCTGCGCTCGGCCGCTTCGGTTCCAGACATGGAAGCCATGACCATGACCAGACCATGACCAGACCAAACCCATGACTCTCGCCAGTGTCTCTATCGTTCCATCTTCCATGCGGATGTCTCTGGCATCGTCCGTCTTTTGTTTCCTCCTCACCTTAACAACTACTTTTAAGTTTGCCTTTGCCTAACCGCAGGTACCTTAACTACCTTTACTTACCTGGCCTGACCTTATTGTACTCTCTCGACTTGAAGACGACGTTGGTGTCCTCCACCAAGCAGCATCCCAGCTTGCCGTCCAGCTGCCCGTCTCACATGTCCTTCGCACACGACACCACGAAGACGACTCCTCATCAAACCGCCACGAAGCTCTCCACCGACCCCTATCTACCTGCGATCTTCGCCGCTTGACGTCAGACCTACGAGAAACATCCAACTCCTCTTCCGCATGCCTTTCGAGCCTGCGATACTCCCCCAAACCGACCGAAACCTCCAACATTACCCCGCGATCATGGCGACCGACGTACACAAGAAGGCAGGCGATGCCGTCCCAGCTCCAGGTCCAAATGCTGGCTTGCTCAGGAAACCAAGCGACGCACATCCGGCGGGTCGCATCAAGCATAACAAGCTGATGCAAATCCTCCGTGGAGTCTCCTTCGCCGTCTATTTCGCAGCATGCTGCGCAAGGTACGAAGCTCCCGACCCGACCCTGCTCTGCGACGAAGGAAAACCATAGCTGACGTGAAGCTTGCGCCAGTATATTCATCACCCAGCTGATGGGCTGCGGCCTGTACCTGGTCAACCGCGAGCTCTACTACGCCTACATGGCCCTGACGAAACAGTCCTTCGCCCTCACCACGACCGCGATGACGCACATCTGGGGCCCCACGAAGATCCGGATAAGTGGCGATGCATCGGTAGCGGGCCAAATACGGCAGACTCCCGGCGGTGGCGTCGAGTTCGACTTCCCCGAGCGCTTGATCCTGATCGCGAACCACCAGATCTATACCGACTGGCTGTACCTCTGGTGGGTGGCGTACGCCAACGAGCCGGGCATGCATGGTCACATCTACATCATCTTGAAGGAGTCGCTCAAGTACATCCCCCTCGTCGGCTGGGGCATGATGTTCTACGGCTTCATCTTCATGTCGCGCAAGATGTCTACCGACCAGCCGCGTCTGGCGCACCGCCTCGGCAAGCTGAAGATGGAGCACACTACACCCAGTGGCAAGAAGCACCGCGATCCGATGTGGCTGCTTCTCTTCCCGGAGGGCACAAATTTGTCAGGCAACGGCCGCAGGAAGTCGGCGGCATGGGCGGAGCAGACGGGCCTCAAGGATCCCGAGCACCTCCTGCTTCCGCGCAGCACCGGCATGTACTTTTGCCTGAAGGAGTTGCAGGGGACTCTGGACTACGTCTACGACTGCACTGTCGCATACGAAGGCGTCCCGTAAGTTTTTGCATCGGCCGGTCCCATCTGAGACATGAGCTAACAACATTCCAGTCGTGGCAAGTACGGCGAGTCCTACTTCACCCTTGGGAGCACCTACTTCCAGGGTCGACCCCCGAAATCGGTCAACTTCCACTGGCGCCGCTTCCGCGTCGCCGACATGCCCCTACACGACCGGAAGGAATTCGACGCCTGGGTGCGCGAGAGGTGGTACGAGAAGGACGCCCTCATGGAGGAGTACCTCGTCAACGGCCGCTTCCCACCAAGCGAGGACAACAAGAAGGGTTACGTCGAGACAGAGGTCCGCCTGAAGCACTGGTGGGAGCTGTCGCAAGTCTTTGTTGTTGTCGGAGCCGCCGGGCTCATTTTTAGGATGTTCATCAACACGATGCAGCGATGGGCGGCGGCCTTCTAGGCTGAGCGATTAGGTTGACGTTATGACGTGATGCTTTACTTCTATTCTGGAAGCTGGATATACGGTGGTTCGGCAATGAATTGGGTACACTTTCATGATTCCCCCGGTGGCTGGTGATTAGCGAGCGATTTCTCATAATGGTGGTTTGGTACATGGTTCGGTTTGGATAGGTACGGTGTATGGCCTGCTTGCATTAACGGCTCTCGTAGCGTCGTTTGACGATACGCATATGCGGCTTGTTGGATTAGAGAATATTATATACAAATAAGCTGAGATACTATTGAGTAAGAATGGTCCTGAGTGCATGTACTCACCCTCTTTTCCTTCGGCTTTTCTCCCGGGGTCACTTCACTAGTACTAAATTCCAACGACTGCTAGCCTGCTGCATACCTCACCCGAGGTACTTGCTTAATATATCTTACGGGCGTTTAGAATAGTCCAATGCGAACGAAAGACTGCAGCCAAGGCAACTTTGGAACCGATTGGTTGCCTCGTCGAAGCGCCCATCAAATGAGACGCATCAAATCAGAGCCTTCCCCTCTTTTGACGAGCAGATCAGGCTCCGAACACGCCCTGGGGCTTTTCTCTTTGATTTTGACAACATTAAAAAGCTTACCGGGCCAGAAACGAAGCAGCTGTACTTGACGCGGTAACTAACATGAGGAAGCTTTTTCGAAGATACCATGGCCGAGAATCGCAAGCTATTGGGGGTGCATCACCGGTCGGTCTAGAGGGTGCCAACGAACCGGCATCCACGGGTGCTTCAACCCAGCCAGCTGCGTCCAATGTCTCCCAGCAAGTGACGCCTCCCTCGGGATTAAGACTACTCCATGACCCAGATGGGGACAGAGCTGCCGTGGAGTAACTCTGCCTGTTCCAAGTTGGGTGCGGTTCACGCGCTGACAATCCGCAAAGTATCGTCTTCATTCATGGTTTGATGGGGCACAGAGAAAACAGCTGGACCGCCGACAACATGACCGAGCCGTGGCCCAAGATGCTTCTGCCTTCGGAGTTGCCTAATGCTCGAATTTTAGCATACGGATACGATGCACGAGTCACGAGCCCAAAGGAAATGGTCTCAGTCAGCCGCATCAGAGATCATGCATCGACCTTTCTCACACGGCTCGCCAACTACCGGGAGAAGGATGACAAGGAGGTTAGTACATGGTATTGAAGCTCTGATATCAGAAGGGAGAAGCTAAGCCAAGCAGGAGCGCCCACTCATATTCGTGTGCCACAGTCTGGGAGGTTTGCTGTGTAAAGCAGTGAGTCAAGCCCCCGACATCTGCTGTTGATTCCGGCCGTAGCCTGGTCTCTACCTCGTGCTCATCAAGGCTGGAATGCTGATTGCGACATCCTGGCCAGGCTCTCGTCCGTTCCCATCACAGGCCTGAACCACACCTCAGCAGCGTGGCTGAGTCAACTCGCGGAATCCTGTTTCTTGGGACTCCTCATCACGGATCGGCCCTCGCAGTATGGGCAGATCGCTTTTCTCGATCAGTAGGAATACTGAAGCAAACAAACCCCAACATCGTTGATTTGCTTCGCCCGGACTCGGAGGTTTTGGCCGAAATCCAAGACAGCTTTCACACGATGCTGCAACAAGTTGACATTGAGATTACCTGTTTCTTTGAGGAACTACCTCTGGTTGGCATCGGCCTGGTAATTAGAGCTCTAGGATTCAGGTGTCGTGGATTGCCCATGACTAACATACCCTGGACAGGTCGTGCCCCAAGATTCCGCAATCATTCCCGGGAAAGGCTGTTTGGGGATACATGGAAATCACCGCTCGATGGCAAAGTTCACTGGGCCGGTGGACCCTGGCTTCGTTGACGTCTGTGGTGAGCTTCGACGCTTCACCAAGTCTATGAATCGATCCAAACCGATCACCAGTTCGCCACTGAATCCCCTGGTATCAAGCTCTGGCCAAACTGGTACTACTACAGACCAGCAGCATCAGGCTGGCAACGGTGGTGTCGCTCATTGTACGTAGCATTACATGTATATCAAAATGATTAGACTAATTGGGAATCGTAGTTATTGTACCTTATAGAAAGAACAAAAACTTTGTTGGCCGATCTGACGTCTTCGAACGTCTAAAACGAACGTTCTGCCATGGACCTCAGTACGATATAAACGACGCGGAGCCGAGAGCTTGCATCTACGGTCTTGGAGGGGTTGGGTGAGTTAACCCGCAGGTATTTTGAGACTATCATGCGCTAATCCCTTAAAGAAAAACACAGATAGCTCTGTCTTATGTGCATTGGCTGCGGAAATCGCGTCCTGATATGTCGATTTTGTGGGTGTACGCCAGTAATGAGGATCGCTTCAAGCAAGCGTTCGCAAACATTGCAGAGACACTCGGTATACCCAATCGCCAAAGTCCATCAGTAAACATCTTGACGTTGGTCAAGGACTGGCTCGAACGAAGTGACCATGGGTGCTGGTTCATGGTGATCGATAATGCCGACAACCTGGAATTATTCTGTCCTCCGCCGTCCTTGTCCCAGCCTGGGTCAGAGTCAAATGGAGGCTTGGCGCGGTTCATCCCAGACTGCGACCATGGCTCCGTACTCATCACGACCAGAGATAAGCAGACTGGGGTTAGGCTGTCGAAAGGCCACCAGCCTTTGGAAATAGAGGCCATGAGCAGCGACGAGTCTGCAGAAATGATTCGAAAGTCTACTCGGGACAGCAGTTCCCAGCTCATCGACGCGGATATCCTGGCGCTTTCCAACCGCCTAGAGAACCTGCCGCTGGCACTAGCCCAGGCTGCCGCTTTCATCCAGGAAAACAGCATAAGCATAGCACGCTACCTTGAGATACTGGCGGAAAGCGACGATGCTTTGCTCGGATTGCTGAGTCAGGACTTCGAGGCTGTAGGACGGGAGTCTGGGATTCCGCACGCAATCATGGCAACGTGGGCGGTATCCTTTAATGAGATCCAAAGACGGGACCCGCTGGCAGATCAGTTGCTGTCATTCATCACGTCATTCGACCGGCAGGCCATTCCACGACAGCTTCTAACGGCGTATATACAAAGCCTGCCTGCGAAGGACGCAAGTATGCTCCTTGATAACGACAAATGTGTCGCAATGAGGGGGGCGTTGGAAAATGAGAAGGAACACAGGGAGATCACGCATTCAAGCATGATCAGAAAGAAAGTTGACCGCGGCTCATGTCCTAGTGTCAGAAATGAAGGTAAAAGTAAAATATCTTCAGTTGATCTCGAGAAAGCACTTGGACTTCTCAAGGCGTTCTGTTTTGTCTCTGAGAGCAAAGACCAGAGCATCGACATGCATCGGCTCATACATCTGGCTACCAAACGCTCGCTGGATGAGAAAGATATGTCGGCACATTTTGCCGGGAAGGCCCTCCAGGCACTTTCTATGGTATTTCCCACCGACGCCCCGGTCAACTTCGAACTGTGTAGCAAAATGATACCCCACGCTGGTTCTGTGCTGGGAAGCAAAATCGAAGACACACCCCAAAATAATTCGTCCAAGGCCTTACTAAGAGGGAATGTCGCATGCTTCTACGGTAGTTTCGGGCAGCACAACATTGCCGTAGAGCACCTGGAGATATCTCTCAGAGAAGCCAAATACGAGCTCGACGAGAAGCACCCCCATGTTTTGGGGAACATGCAACTATTGGCTTCTTCGCTTGGGGAGCTTGGGCGAACAGAGGAGGCGAAACGAATCATCTCCAAAGTCATGGTCTTGCAGGGGGAGATGTACCCACATAACCATCCTGCGATAATTCAGTCCTTGGGGATATATGCCTCTCTATACCATGCTGAGAAGAACCTTGAGGTGGCGAAAGGCTTGCTTAAAACAGCGTTCCATCGCTGCGAGACCGTTCCTGGTGGTGTTCATGTCTTGCAAGCAAAGATAGTGTCGGACCTGGGGAAGGTCTTGATTGAATTTGGCGAATCAACCATGGCATACGAGATATGTGCCCGGGCCGTCGACCTCACTCGCAGGCTTTACGGCTCGAGTCATCCAGTCTTACTAAGAAGTGTGGCAAATCAGGCACATTTACTCCGGCAGCAAGGAGATTACTTGCAAGCGGAAGAGATCTGCCTTCAGGCTCTGCAAGATACCCATATTGGGTTTCAAACCAGGGAGTTATACGTGGAGCTTGTTCGATGTAAGAGCGAGTTAGGCATGAGTCTTTGTCATCAGTGCAAATTCGAAGAGGCTGAGAGAGCTCTTGTGGGGGCGTTAGAGATCTTAACGGACCACGTTGACGGGGGGAAAGGCCCCATGACAGTACAAATAATGGGAAATCGGGCGCTGATACAGGAGAAGGGAGGGAGACTGGTCGAAGCCGAGAGCACTATGAAGCAGGTTGTGCATTTGTCAACTCATATGGCCGAACACGAATACCCGCGATTGCCTCTCTACAGAGCAGATCTTGCTCGAATTCAACGCTCAGGGGTACAAGAGTTTGAATCAGCGCAGTCGGATCAAGGAGAAAGCCTTGGGGTCATCGATAAGAAATGGAAGCCTCTTCCACAGCTACGAAGTGTTCTGTGGCCTTCCAACCCCTTCTCTATCTAGTCTACCGTATTTGGAATTCAGAGAAGGGTGTAACTATATTTGCAACCATAGCCACAACACCGAGTTTGTTTTCCGAAACTCCCAAAAGTTCCATGGAATAGCCTATGGGATCATCCGCGCCTTATCCCTGAACAGCGCCAAGCACGACTTTCACGCACAAGGGAAAACAGAATGCCTCCGTGGTACTACTACCATCTTTGGATCTGTGGAAAGATGATAATGAATGGATATCCCGAGAAACGCTGTGACGCGAGAACTGGATCCATGTCGTCATTCGGATCCCAACCTGTATGCAAAGGATTCCAGGTAGCTGGAGCGCTGCGCACTCGCTTGGTTGGACTCTGCAGCACCGGGGATGATATCGACCTGCAATCAATAGACCCCCTCAGAGACACAATCGGAGCAACTCAGAAAGCCGCAACATATGGTCATGTCGGGACTTTGAAGGTTTTGAGAGACCAAGGGTTCAACATACATCTACAAGATCATAGCTAACAGACAGCACTTCACTAGGCAACGTGAATCGGAGAAGCCGGCGCCGTCAGATATCTGCTCAGCCTTCCGGATACAGAGAGCGGTATTTCCGACTGCAATGGACCTACGTCTCTCCATTTTGCAGTCGAAGGTGGCCGTACCGAGATCGCGAAAACGTTGCTTCAACTCCCAAGTGAAGCTCTTCACCGGCGAACGCAAGTCGGTCGTGGTCGAGAAATCACGGATTTGCCACCGAATCTAAAGGGCTTGGAAGTCGACACGGCAGTTGAATATGGCGAGACGGCGCTCCATCTGACTGCTTAGTACGGAGCCCCGAAGACGGTCAAATTGCTGTTAGACCACGGGGCTGATGCGACTATCGCTGAAATTCACGGCGTATGAGACCAGTCATGTCTTAATTTTGCCATTCAAGGAACTCAAGCACTGCAAGACAATCAAGGCAGAGGACGGTACAAAGATGTATTGAGGCTGCTAATGCCCGTGGCTCGGAAACACATCCTGTTGAATGGAGCCTGTGTGTGAGAATCGGGTGTGAACGAATGCGGCGATAATGGCATTTTCAGATCGCCGGGAATTGCAATTTAACTGCCAAGGGAACTAGAGATTCACAAGCGACGCCAAGAACTCCGTGGTTGACTTCATCGAGTTGGCGTGAACTTGAACGACTCGCGTAAAGCTCCAGTTGGGACGAACGTGCGCTCAGCTTTGAGATCGATCCGATTCGGCCCGGAACTTCCAGGTCTCTAATTTATTCGTTGCGTCTACAGTCCGTTGCGTTGACAGCGTCCGCCCCCAAGTTTGACCCGGAAGGGAAATTTTCCGCTAGCCTAGAAACCCCTTAAAACCCCCTAAACTTCACACTTTAATAACTCTATGCGTACGCAATATGCGTAAATAAAAAATATATTAATCGATAGCCCCCAATTAGGTGATTATAATAATATCTTTTTTATTTATACGTATTGCGTACGCATAGAGTTATTAAAGTATGAAGTTTAGGGGGTTTTAAGGGGGTTTCTAAGTTAGCGGATACTTAATATAACGCTAAAAAGAAAAAACGAAACCCCTAGCGCGTTACGTTGAACTATCCGCTTAAAAAACCCCTCAAAATTAGCCTTAACTTCATACTTAAATAATTCTATACATACGTAATACGTGAAAATAAAAAAGATATTATTATAATCACCTAACTAAGGGCTATTAATTAATATATTTTTTATTTATGCGCATTGCGTACGCATAGAGGTATTAGTGAACGAAGTTTAGGGCAATTTGGTGGTTTTTTGGTAAAAAGCCCCTTTTTTTGCCTTTTTCGGGCTAAAAACTGCGGGGTGGACGCTGTCAACGCAACGGACTGTAAGGTCCTTTAGGCTTGGCCACTTATCCACGACTAGACCTCAGGGCGCAGCCGTGCTTTACACGGCCTGGATAAGAAAACTTAATATTATTGAGAGACGACGTGTATGTACTTTAGAATCAACTCCGGTTTCATTCTGGAGACATATGGACGTGAATTTCCCTAAGGGGGTTCCAGCTAACTAGAGAATCCCTGTAAGTATCTCGGGAAAAATTGTTTTGGGCCCTGACATTGGGGTAATTACATATAAACTTTTTGCCGGCATGCTGGTAAGTATCGGATAACGAGTCTAGTGTATCAGCGATATTATACAACGAGTCAAACCCCATGAACCTCCCGCTAGGCTGCGAAGTCCAAGCTTCAGTTTTCGCAAATAAAAAGCGGATAACGCCAGACGTTCAGACGAAGTTGTAATACCATCTCTCACCAATAGCTCCCAGCTTGCTTCTCCTTGTTATCCAATCCTTCCTGCCGAATTATCAACCAACACTCATTAGGTATGATCAGTTCCACTCCTACTTCCAAAGTCGTCATGTAAACTAATCAAAGGACCAGTTAAAGTCACAATGCAGCCCTTCACCTTCGTCCTGACCGCCGTCTTCGCCGCCACGGTAACGGCACAGGGTTGCCATTTTTGGGTTCAAGAGAAGTCGACCGGAAACAACGTGTTGCAGAAGTGTCTCCAAAAGAACGAGGGGACGACCGCCTTGATCAATGGCGCAGCAAGTGTGTACCTCCAGGCCGACTCAAACTGCCGCGTGACGGTGGGCAATACTGGATACAACACAGCGCCTGTGGGATTCACCGCGCACTACGACGGCCCTTGCTAATGTATGTTTCCACTCGTCTGGTATTGTGTCGCTGAGGTTATGCTGACGTTGGTTGACACAGTGCAACGCCTGGACCCATGTCGCGGGAATTTCTGATGTACTTGCGACGTTCGTTTGTATTGCTTTTCACCATGTACATTCATTTGCGAAGCGAACGGTGTTAAGGGGTGAAAGATTCGGGTTTGGCAGGGCGAACCTGCTGCCGGACAGAAGCTCAGATACTCAATGTGCTTCAGCTGGCGAAATTTCCAAAGTTCACGGCCGTTGATGTCGAAAGTTTCCCTCGTGACAAGCCTGGATGTTGGCAGACTCCATCCGCTATTTTTGAGCCACAAACCCAACTAAGGCAGCCGCTGATATGCCGTCGGAATGTCAACAGAATCATAACAGAGATAAATAAGCTAACGCCTAACATGTGAAGTTTCTTAATTTTCAGATACGCCCCTTTAGAAATCCTCACTTCTCCTCTAATATACTCTTATTTCTATTTTATAGTCTTTATATTAGTATCTATTAATAAATCTTTTGAATGCATCTAACTGAACTAAGCCTGAGGTAAAGAGGGTATGTGTTATTATAACCTGTTATATATAAATAACAGTTGACTAACCTATTTAGGTACTAGGTAGCTAAGATAGGATATTTATACTCTATAGGATTATAGGAATAATAGGGACTTACTTAGGAATAGAAGAACTATAGTATAGGTTATATAATAATAAGGAATAAGTATAGATAAGGGACTTATAATAAGTACTTAATAAATATTAGAATAAGTATTTATCCTATTTTAGAATAAGTATTTATAATAATAAGGGAGATAATACTTATAAATAGTAGAACTATTTATATAAAAGGACTTATAAATAAAATAATTTTAAATTTTAGTTTATAGTTAGACTTTTATAGTTCTTTAATAATTAATTTAGTATTTATCCTTATAAATACTTTTAGCTTACTTTTACTATAAATTACTTATTAAGATTAAGACTAATTATTTTAGCCTCTAAAGATTTAATCTATAACTAGCTTATAATTTATAATTTAGATTATAACCTTAGTATATTATTATAATATATTAATCCCTAGCTTCTATTAATAGACCTTACTATTAGATAGCTAATTATAACACTTTAATTACTCTTATTTAATAAGTTAATTATTAATACCTACTAATAGTAAAACGATAAGTATATTTTTATATACCTCTACTAAGTTATTTATTCTAAGGACCTCCTCTTCTTTATAGTAACTAATTTAAAACTTAATTAAAGAACTTAAAAGAGCCTTTATAATAATAGACTTTAATAATAAAGTAACCCTAAAGAAAGATACTTATAAATACCTTTAAACTAAAGTTAAAAAAGAAGATAATAATATTATTAAGGTTTAAACTATATATAATAATACTACTATAAAACTTTAAAGCTTTAAAGAAATAATATAATAACTAGGAAATAGCTTTTAATATATTATAAACCTAGAAAATAAAGTTATTTAATTTAGAGGATAAAATAGTAATACTAATATTAAAGAACTTTAGAAAGAAATCTATACTTTATATATAACTACTAATATTATTATAACTTCTACTAAAAGATAATAAAAGCTTAAACTTAATACCCTAATTATTTATAATAATACTTTTAGATAATTTAAGTTATTCTTAATTTAAGTTAAGAACTATTAGAACTTCTACTATAGAGACTTTACTAATTAGACTAAGAAAGTTATCTATACTACTACTTATTTATAAAGATAAGTTCTTAAATAGTTTAAACCTATCTAAGAAGAATTCCTTAAGTATAAAACTTTAAATAAATACTCTACTAAGACCTATAATATCTATAGTAACTTTAAGGGATTTAAAGATACTTTCTACTCTCTCTTTTAAAACCTTAATAAGAAATAATAAACTAAAAGAGATTTTATATAGTTATAATAAATAAAATTAACTAAAGAATATACTACTATATTTAGATAACTTAGTATCTAATTTAACTTTACTAAAAAAACTAAGATTTTTATATTTTATTAAGGACTTAAAAATAAAGTTAAAAATAAAATTATTAAGATTAACTATCTTAGAGACTTTCTTTAATATATTAACCTTATTATTAAGATTAATAATTAACTTTTTAAATACTATAAAGAAAAAAGTAAAAAATAATAAAGACTAAACTTTAGATATAAGTATTAATAGTAGCTT